CCCCGGGGTCAGGAGCCGGCCACGGGGATCGGCGGGAGCCGAGGAGAACGGGCCTGTCTGGGCGAGCCCCGCCGGGGGGGGGAAACGTGCGGTTGCCGATAGCCTGGGGATTGGTGGGGCGGAGGAGGGACGGAGGGAGGGAGGAAGGGAGGTCAGCTGCCTCGGCGCAGGGCGGGGAGCTCAGAGCTCCCGGTTTTTCCGCAGCGGCGGAAGAGCCCCCGATCTAGCCCGTAGGAAGAAGGCGTGATCCAAGAAGCGTGCTTCTAAGCATGCGCCCCGCGCAGTGCCCTCCCTACCGCGCAGCAGTAACCGCGCGCTGTTCTGGGGTAGATCGATGGAGGGCAGGAGTTGTACCAGGAGGCAACAGCCGCCCCGGGCTACTCTAATTAGTGGCACGATCGTGAACGAGATTTCCCTCACTGGATGCCTTCCACGTTGTTTGGACCACAAAGCCATCACGTCTGATGGCCGAGGGTGGTGGGAGTTGAAATCTAACATTGTAGAGGGCGCCAGGTTGAGCACAGCTGTTGTCTGTTTATTCTGAGTGACCATGATAATAAACGAATACTTCATTCACTACCGTTGCCTATTATTATTATTATTAGTATTAGTAGTAGTAGTAGTAGTAGTAGTAGTAGTAGTAGTAGTAGTAGTAGACGACTCTGTATTAGAGTGCATGCTAATCAGTGATGTACAAACATGCAACACAGCATTTAACCTTTATACAGAGCAGGCCCCCTCTGTTACTTTCAGCACCAGGGAGCTTTTAGTCTTGGTCCGTGTAAAAGAAGTATCCTTTGGCTTTGATCTGTTCTAAGCTCACCCCCCTGCGTTGGCTGGGATGAATCCAGCTGCGGCTTCAGTCAGAATAGGCTGCTTGGTTGGAAATGGTTATTATTTGGCAGGTAGCTTCATCAATTAAAGGGTTAAGAAACAATATATCAAGCAAAAACAGGGAAAGGAGTAAGTTTCCAGCCTATTAGAGTCTGGAGTTTGAATGTGGGGCATAAAATCCATGTTGCTAACAAGCTTTAATCATGCTAGTTTTGTGTGTGTGTGTGTGTGTGTATAGGCTGCTTGGTTGGAAATGGTTATTATTTGGCAGGTAGCTTCATCAATTAAAGGGTTAAGAAACAATATATCAAGCAAAAACAGGGAAAGGAGTAAGTTTCCAGCCTATTAGAGTCTGGAGTTTGAATGTGGGGCATAAAATCCATGTTGCTAACAAGCTTTAATCATGCTAGTTTTGTGTGTGTGTGTGTGTGTGTTGTGTGGCTCCTGCTCACCCCCACCCAGGCTAGCGTTTGTAGCACCCTGAAATCAGCTACCTCATTTTAACGCAGAACACAGAACCTTCCTCAGGTAATTTGCTTAATGCTTTTACAATATCTAATTTATTATTTGGCTTTTAACTTTGTTTCTTTTAAATCCAAAATCTCTGTCCCTTACAAAGTTTCCCCTGAATTGTGTTTCAATAAGAAATACCCATAAGGGGACTTCATCCCAAGTAAGAAGTTAGATTGACATGGTCTTAGTGATGTCAATACCTGACTCCCATTCCCTGGGGATGTTAGAGATAGAAGATAAATATTTGTTGGCTATTGTTAGAGCCAACCCTAATCTAGCTGAGGGGTGTGTAAAGGGCAGGCCTCCAAATGTTTCCGGACTGCACCTCCCAATGTAGTCAATGCTGGGAGTTGCCATCCAGCACTGTCTGGAAGGGTCCATTTTGCACACCTCTAGGCTAGCTACTGTTGGTTAGTTATAAAAAATGTCTGTTATAATATGTTTGTGTGTGTGTGTGTGCAAGTTTATTGCAGCAAAAACAACAAAGAGTCTTCAAGAAACTTTAAAATAAGCAAATGAATTCAGACATAAACATTTGTAGGCTTTGGTCCATTTCAGCAGATGTGTTGTTGTGAGGAGCAGCAGGAGGTAGAGCAGGAGGAGAGAGAGAAGAAAAAGAGTGGAGAAAGAGAGGAGGATCTACCTATAGGATGGGGATGGCTAGAAATGGAAAATCCCTGGACTTGGGAGAAAGTCAAGATAAAGCTGCCTCTTGAGGAAATACAGAGGAGGCAGCAATACCATCCTGTTTGTCAATCTAAGACTAGGAGAGAGATGGAGTATGGTATTGTCAATACCATCCTCTGTATGGTATTGTCAAGCTACCACTTGAGGAAATACAGAGGAGCAATACCATCCTCTGTATGGTATTGTCAATCTAAGACTAGGAGAGAGATGGAAAGAGGAGAAGCTCAAAGAAAGGAGAAGGGAGGCACAGCAATGCAGTTAGAAGGGGCTGAACCTATAGAATGGACCATTCACGTGTACCTGAAAGGGGGAGATCTCTGGAAGAAAGAGGTCCTACCTATGCACACCAGCTGGCCCACGACACCTACGTTGAAGAGGAGTGGGCTTGACACCTGTCCCAGCCTACAGAACCCAACAGGGAAACCAACCGACCATGAGCGTTTTGGGGTGAACCCCCGCTGGTGAATTCTTTCATTATTCCGGAGTTAAAGGACTGTTGGTCCAGACAGAACATGTTGGATGGACCCGTTGGTATTACAGAAGTTGTTGTTCAGGAGTATTTTTTTTTGTGGGTTAATAAGTTTAGGCACTCAAAGAATCTGTCACCCCAACTCTTTGGGGTTGCAAAGGAAGGATCGAGAGGACCTAAGCTGGAACCCACTCACAGTTGCCTGTAGTTTCTGGTACCTGTACACATGGATGTGGGAAGTATTGCAAAAGTCAGAGAGTAGTGAAATAAGGGGAGTACCATGATAGCAGCGCTACAACAATAGCCATTCCAAAAGCAAGCAAACACATGAGAGAGAGAGAGAGAGAGAGAACGTGAACCTCTGAGCCTATGGCACATCCAAAGGATGAACTTCTGGAATGCTAAGGAACACACAGGGTCCCAGCAGGCTCATAGGCCAAGCGTGAACATGCATGTGTTGTTCAACACCCACTGAACATGTGGATGGATTGGATCCATAAGCCACCTTGGATCTTTTGGGGAGAAATTTATTTATTTTGAAATCTTTTAAATAAATAGATCGATATCTGTCCCCAACCCACCCCCATGCCTGACAAATTAACCATTTGCTTCCTTTTCTTGACAAGCACAGGACTCTGAGGTAGCTGCCCTGCCACACTTGGCATAATGGTACCTGCCTTGGCCAGTACAGACATCTTGGCATCTAACGTAAATAACCTAGAGATCTCTCTTCTTTTGAAGCTCCTCTGTCAGGGAATGGCTATGATAAGCAACTGAGATAAAGACTTCAAAATCTTAGCCAAAAAGATCTTTACAAGTGTCAAAAGGGGATCCTTAATCTGTCCAGACCCCTGGTGTGTCCTTGAGGAACGTTTCATCAATCTGATACGGATTGGTAGTGTGCAGATGATTTGAGCTGGTTCAGTTAGAAATGACTCAAAAACTTTTAAAAGTTCCTTCTGGAATTGCTGGACTGCATATACTATTTTCTAGTAATTAGAGCAAAAGGGAGATCTATGTCCTCTGAAGCTGCAGTCCTATGCAAACCCTTGCTATGTTCGGTCAAGTCGCATTTGACTTTTGACAACCATAGAAGAGGTTTCAAGGTATGTGAGATACTTAAAGAGTCATCATGCCAGTGCCACCCCTGCCAGTGAGTGTCTATAGTCAAGCAGGGATTTGAGCCAGATTTCTCAAATCTGACACTCCATGAACTACGCCCCGCTGACTCTCAGTGCACACACTTACCTGGGAGAGATGGGGTCTGATTTACTTCTGAATAGATATGTATAGACTGCACTCTAAGCGATGACATTTTGTTACAAACTTCATTCTTGCAGACTGAAGGAAACTGTGCAAATGTTCATCTTTACTGCTTCCATCACATTTTGTTTGATTTTCTATTAAACAGCAGCAAAGACTACATGCAAGAAAGAGGTAGCAGAACATGCACAGACTTCCTCAGAAACAAGCCCCATTGTGGTTGTTTGAGCTGCCAGAGGCCAGTTTGTGCATAGGATTGCAGCTTTATTTACAGGTTGGTTTTATAAAATACCTTTCTTTTTCACACAAAAAAGTAGTTAATTTGTCACAGCTCTCCCAATATCTTGAGAACTAATAGCATAAAACCCCAGTAGATTAACAAGTACACATTTGTGGAGCTCAATCAATTAAAAAAATGCAGGCCATTGTATTTCAAAGTGTGTTGCACGTTATTACTAGAAAGTAAGTTGAAGGAGAAGATCAGGATGCAACAAGCTGACCGTTTAAAAACAGCCTGTCCTGGGTAACTGGGAGCAATGTGTTACCAGTAGGATCCTTGTAATGCCCTGTGAAGACATTCATGTCTACTGTCTTTTTTTATCTTTCTTCCCTGAAAGCCAGGTGATTTAAATGTTTGCCTCTTTTATCTTTTGAACCTTGGGAGTTTTAGTGATGCTGTCTTCTTGTCGCTCTACCAATAAAGCAATAAACTTAAATGAGACAGAGTTGCAGATCAACTGAAATGCTTGCACTCAGTAGCTCCCAGTGAAACTAACCTAGGGCTTTTTTACACTGGCGCTTTTGGAGCAGGCCGCTGCAGGATGAAAAGAGTTGCTTGGGGTCGGGTAGAGGTCTTCTTCCAATCCTCCCATCCAAATGGCATTACACGCCTCAGAGCTCAAGCAACCCTCTTTGGTCCAGCTCCTACGAACTTCTGCTCCTCAGCAAGCCCCTTGCCATTTTCTTTGCTGCCGTGGTGTGGAATTTGGAGGTGGGGGCATCAGTTGAAGAAAGGGATCTAACCTGACTTTTGCAACACCAGGAATTCGCACACGGTCCAAATATACGAGCCTGCAATGATACCGCCCCCCAAGCGCAACCCCCTCCAGCTGTGAAAGAAAGGGCCTCACACACCCCCAAGGAGGGGCACCCCCTAAAGGTGGATTAAACCCCTTCTCCCTTTTTCCTTCCTTCCCTTCCCTTCCCTTGGCTGCAGATGTCAAGACCTAGTCCGATCTCCCCAGCTCCAGGGGTGCTGCTGCCCTCTCTTCACAGGGAGTCGTTGCCCAGATCACCACCTTGTGGCTGCCATGGCTTCCTCTTCCTCCACTGCCTGCTTGCCTGCCTACCTGGCTAGCAATCAGGGCTCAGGGCTCAGTGTAGATTCAACAGCAGCCCTTTCTAACTGGCATTGTTCATGTGCAGTGGGTGAGCTTGGTGGATTTTTTTTAAAGACTATAATAGACAATTGAGGTGCTGCATGAATTATATTATATAATAGGCCATTATTGAGGTGCTGCATCAATTATATTCTATAATAGGCCATTATTGAGGTGCTGCATGAATTATATTATATAATAGGCCATTATTGAGGTGCTGTATCAATTATATATATATTTAAATCTTCTCTTTGCCTTGTCTTAAAGCCCCAGTTAAGAAAGATGAAACAAAATTTACAGTCTTAATTCCCCCCCCCCCAATTTTCCCTGCCCTCTGCCAAGGAGTAGAGGAAGTGTTCAATTTGCCAATACCCTGACGTGGCTTGCTTATTAAGCTGCTTCATGATATGGAAAATTGACAGCCAAAGGAGCCTTAACAGATTTGACAACTGCAAGACTCACTTGTGGTTCATTCCCAGCAGTCACATCAGTTTATTCTCAAGGAAAACAGACCACCGTCAACAACAATGGAAGAGGAGGCCTCCACCTATGTACTGTACTAGGGATTGAGTTATGTGCAACTCAGTGACGCTTACCTCTCAATAAAACAGGATCCTATTGCACTGTATTTTCTCTCAGAGGTAGAAATCAGCCACTGTGTGGAGCTAGAGAAACAGAAATGTGAGGAAGAATTAATACTTGGCATAGGGTCCGTATTTTTCAGATAGTTTATGTGAGGCACAATGAACACAGCAAAACATGATAAGTACACTTCTTGCTGAGGAAGCCCTTCAGATGTGTTGGGAATTCTCTGGAAAAACTATGTGGGTCTTGCTTATTTACTTTTTGAAATTGTAGTAGAGTTAACATGGTGCAAGCCTTTCCCGACTGACTCATGCATGTACCAAAATTCCCAAGCTGCCATAAGCCACCTTTTGTGTTGAAGTAGCATCTATTGCTTGGTCTTAAACTAAAACCTCTGAACGCTGCAGATTACATACTGGAATGATGTAAGCATAAGCCGTAGTAAGAACCAAACAGAAAAGCGCAGAGAGATCTGTATGAGAACAGGAGCTTTGAAAAGTGAGATGTGTGAATGTTCAGCCTTGAGAGCAGCTAGGAATATGCACAAAACAGGGAACAGATAAGAAAATAAGGCTTCAGGGCATGGTGAGGATTCATCCAACCCAGTGTTGGTATCCCTGCCAGGCAGTTCTTTCCCTTTGTTGCAAACGGTGCCTTTCTTAGTTCAGTTGAAGCGTGCCTAACTAGAGAAACATGGCTCGCGCCTGAGGCCATGTGCCTGTACAGGGCGTGCTTTGCCACTTGGTCACAGCCTCTTCCTATATGAAGAGTGGGGTCCTAAGATGGGCCTTTGGAGCAAGCTGAGCTTGAAAATGTCGCCTCTGTGAACTAGGATCCCTCAGCCAGCAGGTTCAGTGTTGATGCTGATGCATGGGAGGGGGATCAAAGAGTTGTCCTTCAGGAATAACAATGGCAAATTATTGTCATCAAGAACATCAACATCATCAACAACAGCAGTAACTTTTTCCCATGCTCTAGATAGAAGCCACTGGTGTGAGAGCAGCTCGAACGAACGGGCTGAAGCCGGCACATTAATCCCCACTAATTGGCTTCTCTCCCTCTGCTCCTCCTTGAAGGTGGAGTATAAGAGGATTTCTTGACTTTTTCTTAAGCCCCTCACATTTCGACTCTTCAAAAGGTACCCAACTCAGGGAGGCACACCTGTCCCATGCCACGCAAGCAGTCTGGGGAAGGGGAGGGCCCAGCCAAGGGCAAAGCAGTGGAAAAAGAGCAGGCCCCCAAGGAAGACGGCGAACCTCAGGGGAGCAAAACCTCTGGGTCTGAATCCCGGCGAAACTCCCAGTCTGGCCAAGGGCGCAAACACAGCAAGAAGAACCAAGACGACCCCCATGCAGCTGCTATTAAGACCTACTCACCGTTCCTCAACACAGTTTTTGGCAAGGTGAGTCCATATCTTTAAAGAGGGGAGATAGAAGCCAGCAGTGGGACTGAGTAGTGAAATATTGACCCGAACGGCAATTGTCTAAGGGTGAATCCATATGTATGGTTAAAACAATGTCATGCCCACTCACCAGAGGAAGGTAACTGTGAAATAAAAATAAATGAAATCAATAGTGAAATCAAAAGAAACTTCTGTTTGCAGAAATGGGGGGGGGACGAGGAGGGGACAAGTACAGATGGGACATCCCAGAATAATCTGATGAGGAGTGACTGTCCTCAACAGGCATAGAATGCTTGCTGGCTATGGCAAGGGTGGGAGACAGAACACTAGGAGAGTGGAGTGGAATGGAGTCTCTTGGGAGGCCTTAGGGTGGACTGGAGCTATGTACAAGAGCACTCAACACTGCAACATTTGGTTGCAGGTCCCACATGTGGAGGATAGAAATGGGGAAATGGGTAAGGTAGTAGGCAAAAGATGGATAGTGCTCTAACTGAACAAGGAGTGATAGGGACAGAGTATTGCCACAATATTGTACAGAGATCCAGACGGAACAGGACTTGTTCATAGCCATATTTAAGATGAAGCTATTTAGAAAAGGTCATATCAGAACAGGAGTCACAACACTTCTGTCTCCGGGTGAGTGAGCATGACTCCCCCTCTCCTTTGCAACTTCAGTCATTAACTGCACTTGCAATGGAACTTCTGACTCAAGAAGCAAGTTTCCTGACGACTATGACTATTCTTCAAGTAGACTATCTTAATTTTAAGAAAAAGTAAATAGCATTTGAAAGCCATATAACTCATCTTATGTGGTGTAGTAGGTAGATTGGTGGACTATGATCCAGAAGATCTGGATTCAAATCCCTACTCAGCCATGGAAACTTACTGGCACAGGTGGGATTAATATAATCACTCCTTAAACTTCTCACTTATCTTGAAAGCCCTGTTATGGTCACTGTAAATCAGTTCCAACTTGACAGCACACAACATAACATAAATCTTATTCAGAACAACAAATCACAATCAATTTTTAAAAAATACTTCCAAAACCAGTCCAGGAATTCTGCATCTGAGAGCCTGTACACATGAGCAGTTGTCCTGCTGTTTGGTGTGCTGATGGGTTGGGTTGGTCCGCTCTTTCTTCTGGTGTCCACATGTGGACATTGCTGGAGTGGACTAATTTACCTGAACCCACACCTTTCTGAACCCCTGTCATGGGGTTCTACTATTTTGGTGTGGGCTAGGGCTCCAGCCTAGTCTGTTCCCAGTGGATGTGGTTGCCTGGAACAGACTACACTAGAACCTGCCAGCTCTTTCCAGCGTCAATTTTTTGAATTTAGCAGAGGTTAAAAGGGACATGTGGTCATGGTGAGCTTTGAAAATTAGGATGGAGAGAGCTTGAAAAATTTACTTTTAAGTGTGATCACTTCAAAATGTCATGACCAACATCAAGTCTTACTTTTCTCTCTCTCTCTCTCTCTCTCTCTCTCTCTCTCTCTCTCTCTGTTTTTTTTTTTTTATTTTTTTATTTTTTTGGAGGCACCTTTCTCATAATCTCTCAGCCACCATGGTAAACAACCCCAGATTCTTGGAACTGTAATTTAAAATAATAAGATTCCCAAGATCTGAGGGCAATCAGTTTAGACATAGGAGCAGAGGAAAGGCCAGTGCAGGGATTCCAGGAGGGGTGGGTGACTCATGCTATCAGAAAGGAACAATTTATTTATTTATTTATTTATTTGATTTTTACACCGCCCCTCTAGACCATGTCTACTCGGGGCGGCAAATGTGACAACAGAAGGTTATAGAGATGGGAGGACGTCTAAGTGAGGGGCCCGGAGATTTTGTTCAGACCTCTTAATTTGTAATGCGGTTGAGGGCAGTGGTCTTAAAGTGAAAGCCGGAACTCCACACTTTGAGTAATTGTGTAACCGGGCAGAAAAGAAAGAAAAGGAAGATCCCAAGTACAGAAGCTTGACAGGGGGCGAAGTGAGGTGCAAAAAACTTTTCCCCAGTTCAGAATTGTAAGAAGCAATTTTGATGAAAATTTGATGAAAATGACACTCTTCCCTCTTTGCCATAAGGCACAGGTGCAAGCTCCCTATTTAAAAAGAGGAAGAAAACGTAGTATTCCCTGAAAGAGAATGCATGTGCTTTCAGAAAAAGGGAAAGTCAGTAGGGTAGGAAGTGTTCCCATTTATTGCACACTGACAGATCCATCTCTAGACTTTGGTGCCCTCTAAAGTTTAGTGCCCTGGGGCACAGCCCCAGTTCTTCCACCTTGCCTCAATTGCAATACATGTAAATTTTCTTTCTATTAAGTTGTTAGTCCACCTAGAAAGCCCATTTGTTTTGATGCAGACTGGCAGTAGTTCTCTGGGCCTTTAGGTTGGAGTTTTTCTTGCCCTGCCTGGAGATCCTGGAAGTTGAACCAGAGACCCCCTTATTCATGTACATATTTGGAACATCTTTCCATTTCAAATATATATTCATTTGTACAATTTGGTAAATTCTGACCAGGAACAAGTGGAAATGGAATTGCCATTCATTCATTAATCCTGGTCCTGTCAAGTTTCTACTGCTGGGTAATCTGGAATGTATTTGTTTCTGGGGAAATCCAGGACATTTCCAGTACCTACTCAGTTAGCCATAAATATACAGAAACAAATCCATAGCATTGTAGCATTTGAAGCAGGTAGTATTTCTTAAACGACAACTCATTCAAACTGGCATTTGTCCCATTGTTTGGTGTGTTGCACAGGCAGATTGGTTCACTCTTTTTTTCCAGCAACCACACAATGTAATTACTAGAGCAGACCACTTTGCCCTCAGAGTGCCCCAACCTGCACCTTTTTGAGGCCCTATCAGGGGCTTCTGCTTTTTTGGTGCAGGTCGGTGCACTTTAGTTTAGTACATTACCAGCATGTGTGGTCACAGGAAATGGACTAAAATCGAGCCTTGCAGCTGTCAAAGCTACCAAGGCTCCTTCCAGGTTCCATTTTGGTATAATGAAGTGGCTTTAAAAGAAGCCATTTCAGGATACAGTACTGTACTGGGAAATAGAACACTCCCCCTGCTCTTATGAATAGGCCAGAGGAAGTGAAATAATTATTTTTGTAGTCTGTTAGACTATCACTGTTGCACTGAAATACTTAGATCAATTGTTTGCCTTTGTGTGAAGTGCTGATCGAAACCACAGTTGTGGGCAGTTTCTCGATCGGCACTACAAGCAAAGATTTCTTCTAATGAATTTAATCTAAGTGATTCAGCTCATCAGCATGGTCTAGCACAGGCAAAAATAATATTTTCACTTTCTCTGCCCTTCTGCAGAGAAGCAGGGGAAGTGTCTCATTAACAGTGGAAGGAGCTGGAAGGTTGTGTGAGGTTGATATCTTATTTGAATGCAAGGATTGCATGACATGGCTCCTCCCCCTGACCTCAAACAATTCTTTTTGACTGCACCAGCCCACACCAAAAAAGGCCACTGTAGAACGTGCCTTTAGTCAACTTACCAAAGGAATGCTAATTACAGGGTCCTCCAGACAGCATGGCTACTGATGTATAGTCTCTACTGTCCATAACATTTGCAGCACAGTCCAAAACATGTACATTTATGAACTCAGCTCATCAGTATCTTTAAAATGATGTGGCACGTGGCTCTGTAGGTTCAATAGGCATCTTAATACAATTGGGATGCTTCTTAGAGCATCCAAAGTGATTTTCATGTACACGACCAAGCCTATATTTAAGTCAGATCTTCCCAAAAATACCTTCCAAGTTTTGTGAAAATCCATATATCCATTTATGAGAAACTCACTGGAGTGCCCCTGAAAAATCACAAAGTATCTGTCACACAGGCCCACTTTCAAACTCACACCATTCCAAAATACCCTCAAAAATGGCTGGATGGACGCCTGCCTACTAGCCCAGAGGCCCCACAATTCCCCCAACATGCTTCATCGCTCACTTCGCTCCCTTGACTTGGCAGGGACTCAGTGAACTGTAAGCTAGCAAAAGACACACTTCCATGTGGGTAAAATAAGTGGGCACAGACCTTTGGGCACAGACAGGCTGGAACAAGGGAATGCCGGATTGGGGAAATGAAGAGATAAGCGTTGGATCCAATCTAAGAAGCAGCAGGATGGTGTTGGGCCCATGGTGATTATCATCAGTCCTCTGTAATATCACGCATCCAGGGCCCTACTTGATTAACTCATATAAATAGCTCTCGTCTCCTGCCCTGCTAGGAGGCCAGGAAATCCCATTAGCCAGTGCAAGTAGGTGGAAAGAAGTGCTGAGGAAACTGTAGCCTTGCCTTTTGGGGTTTTCTCAGGGTGCTCAACAGCTTGAGATGGATTTGGGAGGTCTTCACAAAGGAGAGGTGGGCCGGCAACTCACAATACCACTCTCAGGGGTTGGTTAAAAAGCCAAGTAAGAAGCCTGCCCTTGTTCACAAACGGAGGGCATAGAAACGGCCCGCAGAGCTGTATATGTGACCTCCAATCCATTTAATCCAACCTTCAGCAGGTTAATTTGGGAAGCGATTTCTTACTTGGGTGGAAGTAAGAAGTGTTGTTCTGATCCCTCTGTTCATTATGTAAGCTTCCTTCCATTTTAATAGGCTTTATTCAAAGAGAAGGGATGTCTCCGAGGACATCCTGAGGGAAGTATTTCTTTAACCACACAACCAATGGGATCTGCGAGAAAACATTTCAGTGTCCCACCACCTTCTAAAAAGAATATTCCAGCTTGTCATGTTCTTCTCCGGAACAATCCATTTAAGCTCCCCTCCGCCCACATCTGTTTCCCCATTTTTCTTTTGGGGCTGACACTCAGTGTTTTGTGGCTACTCAGCATGCACAGTTCTCCTTGATCCTTCAAGGGAGCGGCATCCTTTGCTTGTTGTTCAGCTTATTTGCTACTTTCATTTCTAAAGAGATTTTTACATATGGTAATTTAAGATTGGCATTACTGAAGCACACTGGAGCTTCCACCTTGCTTTTCACTGGCCCCATTTGGACTCTGTTTCTGTCTTGTCACCACCTGAGTTTGCTAATAAAAGGACAGAGATGCTAAGAATAGATCGTATTTTCACTGGCAGGGACTGGTTGGTTCAGTAGGAGCCCTCAGCTGCCCCATTTTATATCTGGTGATTTCCCATTTTTGTGATAGAGATAAGAGGTTATTTGGACAGAGCTACTGTTGATGTTCTCAATCCTTGGTCACTGTTTTTAAAAATTCATTCAAGATACCTTTAAGGAGCTCTGAAAACTACTGATGCACAGACATGCACATAGAATTCTGTGATGCAAACAGCCTTTTTATTGCAAATACATGTTTCAACCAGCCTGACCAATAATTGTCCACGTAGACATCATCAGATAACCAATACAGAAATCAAATAGATTATATAACTGCAAGTAGAGGCAGGAGAAGCTTCTCCCCCTCCCCCCAAAGCAAAACAGTGTTGGACTATGGTATGGACCATGAACTGTTGATATCAAAAATTAGGAGGAACAATGAAAATGCCTAAATATGATACAAATAACATCGCTGAAGAAGTTAGAGCATGTAAGGAACAAATCTGAGCAACTAAACTCAATTAACTATGAATAACAAGAATTGTAGATTGAAACCAGGTATCTATTCAGAGGAGGATGCACAAAAGCTGTTTCTGTAGTCACAAGAAGAGAAACGTCTTGATGGATTACTACTGAAATTTTTTAAAGGATAAGCAAATGTAAAGGGTGATGGAAAGCAGGTCAGAATCCATAGAGTAGCTTTTCAGTAACATGCACATAGGGACAAAGAACTGTTACAATAAATGGTGAAAAAAACTAAAATTACAGAAAAGGAACGAGAGATTTTATCCATAAGATCCAGAAAATCAAAGGGAAATATAAACAAGATTAAATAATAATCATGCGCCATCAAGTCAGCTCTGACTTATGGCAACTCTTTTCAGGGTTTTCCAGATAGAGAATGCTCAGAATTGGTTTACTTCTTCTGGAAGTGCCTTGGGATTGTGCAGCTTGCCCAAGGTCATACAGGCTGGCTCTACTCATAGGAGGCACAGTGGGGAATCATACTCCCAACCTACCTAAACCACTGCGCTATCTAGCTAGAGGTGCTAAAAAGTCAACAGGAGAATATATTATCTGATCAGGATAAAATAAAGTGAAGATAGAAACAACATATTAAAGAACTATACAGAAGAAATGCAAGGATGACAGATTCCTTTAAAGGAAAATCCTTTGAGAAAGAACCAGAAATTTTAGAAAACAGTGAAAACTGTTCTAAAAGGAAGAAATAAATCACTGAAAGCAGTAGAGCTGTTTTGAGCCACAGAGAGTCTATCAAAAGCCTAACAAGAATATCCAAATAAATATGGAAAATAAAGCAATAGCCCATATAACAGAAAGCATTCAATATACTTTCCAGTCTCAAAGAAAGATGATGTAAAAAAGTGAGCTAATGTGGGACCATCAAATTAATTTCCTATTCAGTACAGTGATGCTCAACATTATACATTAAATTCTTCTTCCATATGTATGTGGGGTAAGAACATTGCCTTCCCCCCGTCACTACTTGAGTTTTATTTTTCCATTTTAATTTTCTGTCTTTACTTTTCCATTTTGACTGTTTTTCCATCTTGAGCTACATTATTATTATGTTTAAATTGTGGTGTAAAGTGTGTGAGTTGTTTTTATGCCACTTTGTTGTAAGCCGCCCAGAGTAGACGCTGTCTAGATGGACGGGAAATAAATAAATAAATAAATAAATAAATAAATAAATAAATAAATAAATAAATAAATAAATAAATAAATAAATAAATAAGAACTGTCAGATGTTCAAGCTGGCTTCAGAAAAGGGAGAGGCACTAGAGGTCCCATTGCAAATATACATTAGTTCCTGGAGTGTACTAAGGAATCTGAGAAGAAAATCTGTTTACATTCTTAGATTACAGTAGAAACTTGCTCTGCCTTGCCTTGCCTTGCCTGCACTAGTTACCAATTGCATCCCAGGCCAGGTTCAAGGTCTTAACACTTACTTACAAAACCCTTCACAGTTTGGGACCATGTTACCTACAGTATCAGAGCATCTCTCCCCAAGGTCATCTTCCCATGCCACTAGATCATCCCAGACTATGTTCCTCTGAGAGGCGATGGCGAAGGAGGCCAGAAAGTCCTCAACAAGAGGTCAGGCCTTCTCGGCAGCTGCCCCATCCCTCTGTAATCGCCTCCTGGTGGAGCTGTGCTTGGGAGTCTGCTGAGAATGCATCTTTTTCATGAAGGGTTTGAAGGCAAACTCTATTGAATTATTCACCTCTATATGCCCATATCCATTTCACAATGCCATTTGGTTTTCAATGTTAGTGCTTTTTGTTGGGAGCTGGTTGTTTTATTTAATTTGTATGTTGCCACTTTATTCATTTATATATACACTGCCCAGAATAGTGCTGTCCACTTATGGGGAGATATGTAAATAACAGAAATAAATAAATATGTTGTGTGAATCAGGAAAAGCTGTGCGTCAGTTTAAAAAACAGGTGTGTTACATTTGATTGGTCTAATACATAACCTACACTTTGGACAAGAGACCCTTGCCAGGATAGAATGGAATGGCATCCTTCAATCTCGAGAGATTATGGTAACGTGCTCTGTATGGAGGACTTGGAGAGTGTCCTCTCCAGAACACAAAGCCTGGGTAAAATAATATGGAGGATAGGCTGTTACCCAAGCAGCGAATCCCCCCCTCTCCCCGTCACTGAAATTGTCCAATGGAAAGGCAAGAACCAATACAACTGGTTCCAGTGATGTCGCAGGAGTTGCCAGAATGGCACGAACTGCCTCCGGGACTCCGGCTCCGGATTTTGCCTCGAGGTTAACTCCTGAAGCCTTTTCGATCAGTGGACAGAGCCACAAGGCAGTGGATGGGCTGCTTTCCAAGGCTGACGAGCCTGACCTATCTTCCCATCTTGCAAAAAACTGAGGCAAAAGTGTATTTTATCTTCCTACCTGTTCAGTTGTACAACTTATTATACAGAAAGCTGGATTAAATTTAAATGAAGGGGTGGAAATTGGTGAAAGAAACTTAAATAATTCAAGATATGCAGATGATATCATAGCACTATCAGAAAATAGCCATGATTGGAACTCACGGCTGATGAGGCCCAAAGTAGAAAGCGCAAAAGCAGGATTACAGAAGGCAAAAATAATGGCCAGGATCCTGTTCATGCTGGTGTAAGGTAATGCCAGCATAAATGTGTTGGGTATTACACCCAGCAACAAGGAACTGTGGTCTGCAATGCACAATTGGTCACATGACCCTGGCACAACCAATTGTCCAATGCGCTGGCTGTAATGCTTTGGGAATAGCACTTATGCCTCAGTGCTTGGACAACTATCATGGGCACAAAGCTGCATGCAGGTAGTCATGCAAAAGGATTTGAGCCAATGCGTGTGTAGCTTTAATATTAACAGTGAAGACATGTCTTCATTTGACAATGAAGTGTCTGAAACTGTTCCTGAGAAATCAGGGCACCAGAACTTGTGCTCTAAGAGGAACAAGTCTCCCAGCCCATCCTCTGTGCTACAGGAATACAATTGCTTGTAATGACATTCTTGAGGGTTCAGGAAGGAGCGAAGAGGTGGGTCCATTGTTTATTAAATTCCCAAGTTCTACCAGCTCACACCAACAACCATGGAAATGTGTTGAGGGGGAGGAGTTGCCAAGCAGTTTCAGCCTGGCAGACCTTTTTCATTTATTTATGTATTTTAGATTCACTGCGCTGAAAGCAAGCAGGAAAATTAGGTGGACTGTTTCCAGGCTGACATAGCTGAGAGGCTCTTGCCCCATCCCTGGAGAGCCCCTGTTGAGGCCTTGCTTTCCACCCATAGAGCTCACTATAGTGGCAGGGAGGTTTTCTGCAGTGACAAAACTTCCCTACTATTACTGATGCAGAGTCTCCTTCACCTCATCCTAGCCTACACATTGGACCCAGGGGGCTAGCATTGTTCTGCTTGAAAATAGATGAATGTCTCTTACAACTTTTTCCCCTCTGTTTCCTCTTCCATGTCTTTAACACTGCTGAAGGCAATTCTAGATTCAGTAAACAGATCTACACTACACAGTTGCAAGTGGTTTGATATCACTTTAATTGTCATGGATCCATTTAAGACATTTGTACTTTTTGGGGTCTGTGGTACAAATCCTGGAATCTGATTCCCTGCCATACATAGTTCACTATAGATCTCTAGCAGAAGTGTACTATAGATCTCTAGGAGAACATTCAAAGTACCTCACCAACTTACAAATCCTATAGCATTCTATAGGATTGAGACCATGGCAGTCAAAATTGTATCAAACCAGTGTAACTGTGTGGAGTAGACACACAAGGCACTCTGCAAGGAAGCTTATGCCTTTATGCATTGTTGTCTTTCATCCTCTCTCTCTCTCTCTCTTTCCCCCCCCCTCCAGGAGAGGGAGCTGTCCACAGTGGAGCTGGATGGTGAGTTGGCATTGATGTGGGAAGTAGGAAGTTGGGATAGATGGACTAGGATCTTGGTTTCATCATCAGAGGGGAGAGGAAGCCAGGACTGAGGGAGGGTTTGCTTTGAGTTTTGACCAACGTCCTTTATGTTTTAATCAAATTCATGGAGACTCTTCAATGACTCTACCAAACATCTGCGTCTTCCCCTACCTTCTCCTTTGCCATTGCGGTGGTTTTGCATGCATTTTGGTGCCGTAGAGGGATGCCAGCATCTCTGTGCTACCTGCCACTTTGCCTCTTATTCCAGGGTGTCAGTGGCCAATGAAGGGTATGACCACTGTGGATGGACAGGTAAAAGAGATGGGGGCAGACCCTCTTTTCACAATTTGATTTAGAGTGATGACTTATCTTGGCTCATAATTAACTGCATTAAATCCCTACAGAAACATGTCCTTATTAGTGCATAGGCCACCCATTTAGATGTCTAGCAATGATTCATAGTTTCAGGCAGACGCTAAGGCCATGCTTGTACTTTCTGTTGTTCTTGTTCCCTTTCTACTATGACATCTGTTTCCTGAATCCCCATATGAGGAAAGAGGTCAAGATAGGAAACCTTGTCTCATGCTTGTAAAATGTTTTTGGAATTTTGTTCACAGAGCTGCTAGATGCCTTCAAGGAATTTGACACTGACCAAGATGGCTACATCAGTTATAAGGACTTAGGGGAGTGCATGCGAACCATGGGTTATATGCCCACGGAAATGGAGCTTATTGAGATATCTCAACACATCAAAATGCGCAGTGAGTTGGGTGTTTATGATTTTTCCCCCATCTATAAGATGCACATCCGAAACCAATCTCAAGAAATGCCATCCAATTCCTGTTAACCTTCTCTCAGAATTGCATCAGTTCCTATAGTCTCTATTTACCACGGGGAGTCCAAATTTGCTGATGTTTATCCTGTTCATAGAGTTCTTCTGAAGTTAGTCTGTTCTTAGGGTAATAAAATATTTTGGCTAAGATCACATGATATACTTCCACTGGATCCCATTGCTTTCCCTCTATCAACAATGCCCCTCGTCCTCTGCAGCCCCTTCAGGTACCCAATGAACCCTAAGAGCCTGATCTGGCAAGTAGGAAAGTCCTTTTGACCAGGTTTATGGCACCACAGAGGGCTGCAGTGGGAGGCTGAAGAGAAGGAATTCCAGAATCCACTGGTGTTGATCACCAAATAACATTACCAGTGAAACAACTAGCAGGTTTATTTTATAATTAAATAGGTTGCAGGACTCTGTATGGGTTAGCGCAAAAAAAAAACCTATCCATTTTTCAAAACCACATGAAGACTTCTCTGTTTAGGGTTGTTTTTGGTAGTCTGAAAATTGGCCCCTGGATCCATTCAAATTGTTCATTAGTGCTGTAGAAGCCTTGTTTGGAGGCTGAAGGACGGATGCGTCTTGAATGGGCCTAGCATACCATGAGACCATTGGGGATGCTCTTCCCCAGGTACCTCCAGTTACCACAACATGCTCGCTCTGTATCAAGCAGAGGGAGAGTATTTTGAGTTCTAGGATCCCAGTGATGCATGGAATTAACTCATGGAGATGCCACTGACACTCACTCTTGGCCAGCTCATTTTTGTTTGACATGGCATAATTCTTGGTTGATTCCATTTGTTTTACTGGAGGAAGGGTGGCTGTGTTTATGTTTTAGTATATTTTAGACCTTTTCTTGTTTTAATTGTATTTTATTGCTTTAAGTACATATGTACTTAATATCTATTATATCTGTCAGGATCAAAGGCAGCTTAAAAGCAATTTAATAAAATAAAGAAACAGGGATATAGTGTAACATTTGCCACTTTATAAACCACAAGTGGTTCGGTTATTTTTGAGCGGCTTAAGATGGATTGTAACATTTTAGAGAACAACTATCATTAACATTGCAATTCCATGGGATGTCAGAGTTGAAGGTAAAGAATTGGAAAAATTAACAGAGACCTGGCAATTGAAAAATCTTGCTTGTGGATAAAACAAACTTCAGTGGTCTCCGTAGTCATTGGGGCTTTGGGAACAATATCAAGAAATTTCACACAGTACTAGAAGCGGATCTCAGAAATAACACCATCAAAGCTTTAAAAACCCTGACAATATTAGGAACAGCATATATACCACACCAATATTTAAAATACTTAGGTTTTTGGTTAAAACTCGCATTTGATATACAATATCAGTCAATGTTTTTATAATTTTGATTGACTGTGCCTGATATATAATAATAATACCTCAGTGGTCCCCATTGTCATCGGGGCTTTGGGAACAATATCAAAAAAAATTCACACAGTATTAGCAATTGCAGATTTCAGAAATAACACCATCAGAGCTGCAACAAACAACAATATTAGGAACAGTATGTCTAGTATGCCAATGCTTAACAGATACTTAGATTTTTGATTAAAACTTGTGTCTGTTATATAATACCATTCAATGCTTTTGTAATATTGATTGACCGTGCCTGGTATTTTTGAATAATAATAATATCAACCATTCTTCCTCTCACCCAAAGGCATTGCTGAATCTGACTAGCTTCTTTTCCTATGCTTTGGGGAAGTCACTTTCCCTTCTTCTCTTTCCCCATAGTGGGAGGCCGTGTAGACTTTGAAGACTTTGTAGAAATGATGGCCCCAAAGCTGCGGGAGGAGACAGCTCACATGGTGGGTGTGAGAGAGCTGAAAATCGCCTTCCGTGAGGTATGTACAAATGAAAAGGCAGGAATTAGGGAATTGCAATATTTGTTACCTATGTGCATTATATTTCTATTGTCCCTGCTATTGAGATGAACTGTAAGACTCAGAGAAGAATTTAAATAGGCTCCGACTGTGATTGGCAGCTTGACAAGGAACACAGCAGGCCTGGAAAGGGGCAAGAGATTCACAACTGCCCTAGCCTCCTTTCACCACCAAAACAAGGCTGGACTCCATAGCAGATCTATTGCACTGACTATATCAGTGATTCTCGTACCTGATTCTTATACTGTACAGGATTTCTCTGCAAGTTAGCCGATACAAAATAGCTGATTTGCAAAGAAATATTGTATAGGAAGGAGAAGGTAAGATGGAGGATTCCCCCCTTGTTTTGCTTTACCAGACACATATTCTTAAAGAAAAGGTGAGGGAGCTGTGTTTTTGCTCTTCAGCCCACTCTCTGTCCTTTGTCACTTTTAAATAAACAGACATACCTTTCCCTTCCAACAGGGAACAAAATGATACCAGTTTGAGAACTAGTATCATTCTCCCTAACCACATTTTGAAGACATGTTTTCTGATGCAAACTTGCTCGGTGGACAGCATATCTCCATGTCAATTACATTCTAATCTATAAAATGTATCTATCATAAGGTTGCCTATGTTTGCTTCGAGTGCTCCTAGTCATAGCAGGTCTACTGAATTAGAAATTATGATTGGCAAAATGGGTGACTATCTTTCATGCATCCTCTCTTATGTAAACTCATTCACAGTATTGACAAGTATGCCCCCTGGTTTCCAGGACAGGAACAGCAATCCCTCTTGGCCATCTGATTAATGTTTGGCCTGTGTTATATTTATGCTTTTTGTTGGCTATATGCAGTTAGTAAAATTGGGGGGGTGGAGGTGGAACTATGCTCAAAAGCACTCTTTCTGTCCTAGTGTTTCGTCTGTGCTGTCTCTTTTGTGGTGTTCTTCTGTGCAGTTAACGAGCTTCTTAAATGAGAGACATCTGCCACAGAGCTTTCATATTATGAAATTAGGAGCCACCTTTCCTCATAAAGAAAAATTATTAAATCTCACCTAGATAAAGGTGCATAACCTGCAATAAGCCTGTCACATGAAAATGAGATATAGGCTCCCTTCATTTCAGGGCCAGCCCAAAACATTTTGCTGCCTGAGGCAAAGGTAGCAATTCTCACCATATCATGCACTGAAGTGGACTGGACTGGCAACTGAATCTTAACTTCTACATTGTCAACAGGATAACATCATTCACCACAGTCAAGAGCAGCTGAGTCCAGGATGTATCACACACACACGGTTCTGATATCGAAGAGAAAGGAATGGTTGGAGGTCTAGCACTTCTCTGTGCTATGACAGGCATAGGTGGAGGCAACCAAAAACAGTTATAAATATTCCTCAGCTCAGGATAGAGGAGTGGGAATAGAAAGGGGTGAGCAGTATTAGTGAGTGTGGGTAGCATGAGAAGAAATGGAAGAATCAGGGTGTGGGAGAGAAAGTAGTGGGGGTTTTCCAAAGAAAGGAGCGCATGAGAGATAAAGCCATACAGCCTGTCTCTAATACGCGTCCTTTTTTCCTCAAGTTTGACACAGATGGAGATGGAATGATCAGTCTGGCAGAGCTGCGGCAGGCCGTGACGGCTCTGCTGGGTGAGCAACTCAATGCTCAGGAGGTGGATGAGATCCTGAAGGATGTTGACCTCAATGGGGATGGGAGCGTTGACTTTGATGGTGAGAGAACTGAGTGCATTCTCTATTAACCTTCCTCTCTTAAATCTTGGGCCTACCTGAGGCATCAGGGCCTTTGCCTCAACACCAGTAAGGATTGGCTGGTCATGCAGAATGCCTCCATTACTAAAAAGGGAAGAGGCAGATTTCCATTACAGTACTCTCCACTGCGGCCCATGGTTATAGATGCAGAGCGCTGTCTCTGTCCTGCAAAGCACAAGCACAAACTAGAACGTCCCCCACCTCCTTATTCATCTTGGAAGGTTATGTTGTTGCCTTCATGTACCTACACACACCCATCTTTAAAGATAGAAAAACCAGGTTCATTTTTCCCAAGGACAAATTTATTCTGTTTCCAGATCACAAATTGAATGTTTTTTTTTAAAAAAAGAACCTACATGAAAACTTTTATACCTTTTTTTTAAAAATGTGGCTTCCCATAATGTACATGCAGTTTTGCAGGCAGACCCATCGGCAAGATCAGGACCGGGACAAGTGGGAAGTGAGGCACTGGAGAAGGGGTTACATTGTCTGAAAGGGCAAGATCTTTGCATGGGGATCAGATTTCCTGGGGCCTTGTGAACTATCCCATCAGTATTGTCTGCTCTGTTGGTGCATGAAAACAAAGAGAGATGAATGAGAAACATCCTTGGAAACTCCAACTTGGGAACTAATTCTTTTTTTTTCCCCTCCCCTTCCCCACCAGAATTTGTGATGATGCTTTCTGTAAGGTAACCATCTCTGGAGAGGAAGAGACTGTCCCATCACGTCCATCATTGTTGTTTTTGATAACCAGAAGGGGAACCGGCTGCCCTTGCATGGCTCTTCACCTCCTGAAGAGAATGGGGAAATCAACCCATAGAAGGCAGAATTCTCTTCTCCCAAGCTTGGATCCTTCACAGGCGTTCCTGAAAACCATGCAAACATTCACCTATTAACTAGTCCAAATGGTGCAAAGTCTCTCAAGGGGCAAATGTGTAACTTCACCCAAGGGGAACTGCCTTGTCCTGAGGTAAATTGGCCAAGCCAGACCTAGAGAATTTGTCTGGAAGTCTCCTGTCTTTACAGAAAGGAAGTACCCAACAGCCCATCCCAATGAGGATGGGCCTAGACATTTTGCCTCAGGCACAGAAAGACACTCCAAAATCCCAGCCATGAAACAAATATGAAGGATGGGTGATTTTTCCGTGTCTAAGCTTTTTGTGTGTGTCTCGGCGTCTTCCCAGAGTTCTTGGAAAGTTGTTATATTCAGCGCAACTATCAATCTTTAATTCCTCAGTTATCATGAGCTGGGTGGTGAAATAAGCCTCCCTGTGGATCAAAACAGGGACATGAATGAAAAGTCTGTTTTCCAAGGCTTTCAAATGGAAAAGAGCCTTAGGATCCACCCCATTCACTAGGCTACAGTTGTGGGACTCTAAGGCTGTGTCTGTACTAAATTCAGCAATCAGCTTTTGTTGAGTAGGCACAACAAGCCCATTTCCAAGGCAAATTTCTCTGGACATTCCATTGCTAAGTATTTCCACAAATTATGAAATATTCCTCGAGGGACTAAACTGCTGAAGCCAGAAATTGTTCACTATTGTTTAGTTCAGTAGTTTAAGCCCCAGTTCAAATCCTGCCCTCTCCAATTTCAAGAGTCAGTAGGACTCCGTGCTGCAAAATAGTAGGGGAGGCACCTAAATCAGTGGTAGGCAGAGCACATACCCTGAATAGAGATGCCCCCAGAATCCAGGCCTAATCAGTCAACAACACGCTGAGAGAGGAGGAACTAGCTCCCTCGCTCTCTGGCATTACTTTTTCAACATGAAAACATGTGTATGAAGAGAAAATTCTGCTAATGGGTAGGCTCTGGAAAATCTGGGTTATTGCTCCCATGTGGAGTCAACATATGACAGGAACTGCTTTCCATGTGGAGAAAATGATAAGAGAGAAGGAAAGAGCTAGGCACTCCTCTCTAAGTGTGTTCATAACAAGCAAGTAGGTAACAACAAGGTACAAAGGAAGAGGGCTTCGGTTGCAAACAAATCCTTGTGAAAATATTGCCAAGACGTTGCTACAGGATTGGGAAAGGTCCTTGCCTGAGATCTCTAGAGAGCCATCACACCTTGCCTTATGTGGCCAAAGCACAGGGCAATCCCAGGGAATGGGAAAAGGACAAGGAGCCATTATATGCTACTCCCACTCCCCTTTCCCCTACATCCCAGAAAAATATTAAGTTGTGTGGGTGTGTTTGTGTCGTGAACATTTGCTTGGATAGAATGAGGCTTTATCCCAGACTGTTTCTAAGGCTGGCCTGGAAATAGTTGTTAAATGATTGATGATAGATTTTTATGAAATACAGATTTCATTCATTCATTCACTCAAGCTCACGTTTTTAACAGTCATTTATTACTCACTTAATTATAGCTTACCATAATTAAAACAATAAAATAGTAAAATGCAGTAACTGTTAAAAAATACAGTACAAGCGATTTAGGAACGGAAGTTTCTAGTAAAACTACTTTGACTTGGCAAATTGGAAGTCCACAGAAATAAAGATGCCTTCACAAGCAGACATGAGATAACTGGGCAGTCTGAGAAGATATCATCTGATTTTTATGGGACATGATGTTCCACACTAATGGTGCCACCACAGAGAAACCACCACCCCATGTCCCACCATTTTACTTCCACCACAGATGGAACACACTAGAGGGTTTCCACCATTTGATTTTAACAAATGGACAGGCTGATATGGGAGAATGTGGTCCCTTTTGTATGCTGGAGCCAAGCCATGTACGTCTTTAAAGGTTGTGATCAACACTTTGATCACTTTGTCCCCGCAAACTGAGTGGCAGCCAGAGAAAGCATTGCAAAATAGACGTAATATGCTTCTGCAGCTGAATGTCTCCTAACACTTGCTACTGTTTTCCGCTTCAAACATTTTTCAGATTAGCAGCCTCAGGTAGTGGAGCAGATTGCTGCTGTCTTATCTATTTGCCACTAAGGCATGGATTGCCATAGTCATGGCAGACTTCAGGAACAGACATAGCTGACTCACCAGTTAAAACCAAGCAAAGACAACCCAAATCACAGCTGCAGTCTGAGCGCCCAGATATTTTGCCACAGGAAAGAATCCTTGACAATAAGTAGCATCCGTTAGCTAAAGGTGAAGGTTCCCCTTGATGTTTAGTCCAGTCGTGTCCAACTCAAGGTGCTCATCCCCGTTTCCAAGCTGTAGAACCAGCATTTGTCTGAACACAGTTTCCGTGGTCACGTGGCCAGCACAACTAGACACAGAACACCGTTCCCTTCCCACTGTGGTGGTACCTATTTATCTACTTGCATTTTTACATGATCGCTTGGATTTGATCTTACGATTGCAGGGACAAGCAACAGGAGCTCATTCCATCGCTTGGATTTGATCTTACGATTGCTGGTTTTCTGACCTTGCAGCACAGAGGCTTCTGTGGTTTAATCTGCAGCACCACCACGTCCCACCAGCATCCATTACTCCCTGGCAACTCTGGTTGTTGGTGAAGACTCGGCAAAAATAGAAATGGAGCATGTTAGCAAGAGCCCAGGATGACACTCACACTACACTTCACAGCCACTACCATGATAATTGCTTAGTGCTGGAAGAATGTGGTGTGTTCACATTTTCCCTGCTTAATCAATAGAGGCACAGGTGGATCCTGAGACCAGCAAATAAAATTGAAAATGCAGAGATTGAACAGCTCCAGAGAGCCTGCTGCCCTAAAGCTTTGAAATTCTTGACAGAATCCTCCAAGTTCTAGGGAAGTCCAGTTCCCAAGTCTTCTCTATAAAAATTTAGGGCAGAGAGTAAACGAGTCTCCAAGAATTGTAAGATGGTGAGCCCTAAAGAAGCATGCATTCTTGATGAGACTCTATGACTTCTAGGATCAAGAGAGAATCTTTTTCCCAATCTCTCTCTCTCTCTCTCTCTCTCTCTCTCTCTCTCTCTCTGATTCCTAATAGTTCTGTCACTGTGAAGAAGCAATTTTGGAGGGAAACTTGACTGTGAGGAAAAAGTGCTTAGACAGTCCATGGATGTATTGGAGGGTTTAGATCTAAGTCTGTAGCTTCAGCATTCATGCTACCAGAGCACACTGATTTATCCAAATATTTCAGTTTTATCCAACAAATATGAAGAGATAGAAAACATGCTAAGGAGCAGCTCAGTGCAAATTGATTGCATGAAGACTCCATGGACTGTTTTAAAGAAAGAAATATCATATACACTGTACCACACACATGGGAAAAGCTTGTCTCTAACAATAAATGTCTGATAAATTTGATTGGTTTTTGATTTATTGTATAGTGTACCTGGATGAGTCACACAGCAATGACTTTTTAGGATATAAAATATAAGGATTTCAGTTATCTCCTTGTGATTTATGGTTTGTTTTCTCATTATAAAACATGACTTGTTTAAAACTTCTTCTGCAGCACAGGTAGTGAGACAGTGCGTTTCTCTGTCTTCAGAAAGGCTGTTTTCTTCTCATAGTACGCTGCCTCGTTGATGAAGACAGGGTAGGTGGTGTCTTCTCCCTCATACAGAATATCCTCCCCACTGAATGTTTGGAAAATGGGGTCTCCAGGCTTTAAGGGTTGGAAATCTTTATCCTAAGGAGATGAACAGTTGGATTATTGGCTAAAATCAAAATAGCCAGAAGCTTCACTCACAAGAACAGTTCCAGTAGCTTCTGTATAAACATTCTATTGTGGAACTAAAGGAACAACAAACCATCCTCAAAGAAACTAGGACTCATGCAACAAGAATTCACCATAGTCACCATAGCTTGGGATGATACATGCAGACCTCCCAACCTTGAGTCCCCAGATATTGCTGCTGATGGAGAATGTTGTAACCCCACAACATTTGAGGGGATGCATGGTTTAGGAAGGCTGCAAGAAGAGGAGAGGTTACATCCGTCAATTAAGATGATTTTTTTTTCAGTTTCAGATTTCCTCTCTCAAAATTATGGTGCATGATACACTTACTCAGTTCCTCATGTATGCAAAGTTATAAGGCCCCCGGCCTCTGTTGCATTGTGCAGTGGCTACAGAGATGCATATGTATATGTACTACATTACATATCTCAGGAACCCACATGTTTTCTGACTTTCTTCTGCCACTCCTTCTCTTCATACTCACCTGCAGATCTGGATGTATCACAGCAGAAATTTCACCACTTGGATAGCGGGGGAAGTCCACAGCTCCAGTGACTTTGTATGCTTCAATATCAAAGGCTGGGAACAACGTGCCTAATTAAAAAGAGATGACTAGACAATTAGATTGGAGAACAGGCTAGCATCCTAGTTTATACTCTGCAGCATTCATACTGAGGAATCAATTAGGGAAAACATGGTTTCCCCACCATCATCTATTTACAATCACAATATACAATCACATCTTGTATCTGAGTATTTGTCAAGGCTTCATATTAATGTCAGCCTCAACGTATGCCTTCAGGTATAACAGCACTAATCACACAACACAACAGCTAGGAGGCATATACTGTACGTTGAAATAAGATTTATCCATGGATTCATTGTTGAGTGATACATGATGGGTGGTTGGCAGATCAGTCAGTTAGTATCACTCATTGTCAATCAATCTGGTTATTTGTCTGGCTGTCTTTCTGTGGCCAGGATCCTGTTGCCTACACTCACTAGCATAACTTCATAGGTGTAAAGTTCTGCAGCAAAATTTCCATAAGCTAAGAAATCAGTGTAGACATGTGACTGTGATAGCAAATGCCTATGCTGACTTCTTGTGACAATTTGCTACTGACATTTATAGTGATGGCATTATACCAGTGTAAAATATACAATAGGATTCCAGCCTGTACATATCAAAACAATGGAGACTACCAAGGTTTGCCAGTAAAAGTGTAAAAGCCATAAAAAATTATTCTGGGTGTTTGAGTCACTAGTCAATTTGCAATTTCCATTCATTTAGCCCAACCTCCAGTCCCAAGAATCAAAACAAAATGAGGCGTGATGGGCTATGTCACCTTTGTTAAACAGCTCTATGAAGTCCAGAGCATAGGCCATGATGGATCTCATCTGAGCCAGCAGGTCCGCTCGTGCCACTCCTTGGGGCTGGGGACCCACCTCTATTGCTGTGAAAAGGATCACATGGATATGGATTATTTCTGAAATTATCTTGCAGAGCCATTGGCTATAGTATGATGTATATTACCATTTGCTTCCTATAAAGCTTTTACATAGTTGAGACTTGAGGTACCCAAGTGTGCTCATGGTGTGTTGGTCTGCAACAGCAGTGGGTGGCCATGATGATTGAGGATAATGACAGTTTTAAGCCAGCACAGTTGGAGATCAACAGGTTGGGGAAGATTAACATAGATCATAATGGCCATAGTAAGGGCCCCATCGTGTGCATGTTTCCCCCTTACGTAGCTTCCTCCAGCTTATTGGGCTGAGCACCTCCTAGTATGGACCATTTGAATCACATGTTTATTCCATCCCATCATAAGAGACAGACAGTCCAGTTCAGTGCAGTTCAGTAGCTGAGAACTGGACTTTGAGTGAGATGAATGTAGGTCATTGGAGTTTCACTTTTCTTATTCTTATATCTTAATAGAAGTTCTGTTTTCAGACATATGTACATAGTCAGAAAGCATAAGGTTTAAGCATAAGGAGAGGCCATAAGGCTAAGCATTGAAGAAGAGCAAGTATAAAATACTGTAATAGATATGGAATGTAGGCAGTCAGTCATAGATCAAGAGCCATGGTTGGATTGAAACGGATTGGTGGGCATGATCACAATTATTATCAAGGTTTGCTAAAGATAATCAACAGATAAAGTTAAAACGTTTAAAAGATAAAGTTAAAGTTTAAAGATAAAGGTAAGGTAATTTAACCTATCTTTGTGTGAAGCTTGAACCTTTAATTCTCATAATGCCATATCCTATTTCACTTCAAACTGTTCTCTTAAACTTCTGTAACTGAAGTGAACAACTGTTCTGATGTCTAAAAAGTTCTGAGAGGATGGATTGCTATGTTACCACTTAGGTTTTATTCTTTCATATGCCGACATGCATGATCCAGATTGGATTCTGGCACCTTCTGCAGGACTCCAAAGAGTACCATATGATTATACATTGCTACTTCCTTCATGATATTGAATAATAGTACAATTCTCTTCTAGTAACACCTCAAGAGACTTACTCAACTGCGCTGACCTACTTGCAGAAACGCTTCATCAACATCAACCAGGATGATGAGTGCAGGGTTTTTCTCCCTCTACCAAGAAAGTCCAGGAACGCTCCTTACCTAGTCCATTTTTGCTCACGGAACAGACGGAGTACGTCTCTTCCTGTGGGTTCTGCTGACTGAGTAAGATGGAACAATGTTTCACCTTGGACTGTTTCTGTGTAGACAAGAAGAAGGGAGATTGCACTGGGCCGGGGACAGTCTCAGCTCGCCTGCCCTGAGAATGGTGGATAAAGAAGATTTCCAGGAAAATCTTAGAGCGTGGCCTCACCTGAATATAGCTGCACATATGCAAAGTTAACAGACAATGCTCAGAAGCCACAATGAGGCAGCAGCCCATGTTGGCTGTGGTGTTGTGTAGGTCAAATATGAACTCATAGGCTTGAGATGACCCTTTGGGCCCAAAGCTCTGGTTGATCTCCCGGGCACGTTGGACCTCATAAGAATCTGTATCCGAGCCCTTGGAGCTGAAAGAGAAACACTCAAAACAAAGGTTGTGTGGACAGATTCTTAGGCCTGAAAACTGTTCTCATTCAGCACAGGAGTAACTGAGATCACACTGTACCTTGGAGGCAACTCTGAGGCTGGAGGCTACTCTGAGGCTGAAGGCCTTGAGAAGGGGCTTAACATACCTGAGCATCTATAAGCCCAGTGTGCAGTAATGCAAACTAAAATAGTTGACTCTCTCTCAGAGCTTGGAAGAGTTTCTTTTAAACAAAACGTCAGCTCTCAGAATCCCCCATCTGGCATGGCCGCATGGCCCCATCCCATACTTGTTGTGGATGATGGGAGTAATGTCCCCTCCGGAGAACTTTTCCAAGCTCTGCCTTCTTCCTAGTACAGTGGTGCCTCGCTTAACAATTGCCTCGCTTAACGAGGAAATCACTTTATGATGAGGTTTTTGCGATCGCTTTTGCGATCACAAAACAATGGTTTAAATGGGTTTTTTTCATTTAACGATGATCAGTTCCCTGCTTCGTTTCAAAATGGCCGATTTTTCGATGATCAGCAAACAGCTGATCGTCGGGTTTCAAAATGGCCGCTGGCTGAAAAAAATGGCCCCCCGCTGTTTTCTAGGGCGGATTCCTCACTTTACAGGCACCGAAAATGGCCACCGTATGGAGGATCTTCGCTGGACGAGCAGGTATTCAGCCCATTGGAATGCATTGAATGGTTTTCAATGCGTTTCAATGGTTTTTTAAAATTTCGTTTGACGATGTTTTCGCTCTACAGCGATTTCGCTGGAATGAATTAACATCGTCAAGTGAGGCACCACTGTATAATAATAACCATGCACCATCAAGTTAAATCTGACTTAGGGTGACCCTTTTCAGGGTTCTCCAGGTACAGAATAATCAGAAGTGGTTTATCATTCCCTTTTTCTGGGGTCTCTTTTTCTGAAAGACACAATGGGGAATCAAACCCCCCTACCTCTGGGTTCCACAGCCAGATACTTAAACCGCTGAGCTATCCGGTCAGTAGCGTCCTAGTATACCACCACTGCAGAATCATAGTTCTTGCTTCCTGCAGAACAAGTAAATTTAGTACTCACTTGAGAATATCCGCAATGAACGAGCGATTAAGGTCCCTCCCGATGTAACGCACACACTTCTCAATCGCACGTGGGTTGCCCAAGAAGGGAGTGGCCTGGAAAGTGCTGCGGCACAACTCGGAAGTGTTGTTCAGCCAGTGCTTGGCCAGATAAATGCCCGACATCTCATTCCCATGCGTTCCTCCACAGACTGCCACATGCGTCAAGGAGGGAAGGCGGTGCAGGTGCGACATGACGGTGGGGGTTTCAACTCCTATAAGAAGAAAGAAGGCCTGATGGGACTGCCCATCCTTTCATTGGAAACAGGGAAATGAAGAATGCCTTCATCATCTGCCGTTGGTTCAGCCAACCCACTTTCTTCATCTCATTCAGCACTCATTACTTTTATCGTTTAATGTTTGGTACTATCATACTTTGGCCAAGTTAAAAGTGGAGAATGACCAATTAATAAATTGTTGGGCAGGGATATCAGCAAAACAACTCTTATGATCCTTAACAATAGCTGGAAGTCACCACCCTTTGAAATTCAATATGCTTTGGTATTTCACAAGACAATACTGGTGACACAACAGAAAGGGTTTGGCAGAGCAACTGGTTCACACCAGTTTTCCAGGTGCAAGACTGAAGAAGACAAAGAGGAATTATTTAGATTTTGAGGGGAGTACTACTTAATGAAGTATCTTGGGGTTGAGCATGTACAGATTTGAGAAAATCCCTCCATTTACCTGCAGGGGATTTCTTTACCTGTTATAATCTGGATTTTAAAACATCTCTTTATCTGTTCCTTTGAGGGAATCCTTTCAATACTCGCATTTTTGTCCACAAACATCAAGTAGTGACAATTAGAGACTACCAGATGGCATTCATTTTGCATCACTATGTTTAAGCACACAGTAGATAGCATTGTTCTCATGAAAAAATGTTTAAAGAATGGGGAGGATTATACTCTGTACCTAGAAAGCCCTGGAAAGTGTCTCCATAAAATGGCATGTACATATTATATGTTATAACAAATAAATTTAAACAGAAAAGCTAATATAGGCATAGTGAAAGAAGCCCAACAGAATGTATGCATTCATTCAAACAAAAATATAAATTATAGGAGTTTAGAATTATAGGAGTTTTAGTACATCTACATGTGCAAAGACAAAGGGGCATCATTGTTTTAATAGTAGTGCTATAACTTTTTTTAAAAGAACATAATCTTTAAAAGGAAGGTGAAATCCAGCTGCTGCAGTTTTACTGACTTGTTCATTTTTGTTCAAGAAACAACATTCATAATCGGTTTATTTTCAAAGGTTTAGCAACTGTTTAGTACATTGTCAATCATCCACCCATTGCTCTGAAAGCAATTTTCTATACCTAAATGAAGGAATGGGACTCAGATAAAAACAGAATTTTTGTCCCTACACTGGCAGTTCATATTACAACATAATGAAATTTTAGGGATAACTACAACTGTAGTCCGTGTTGATACCCATAAACTTTTAAATGAGGATGATCTTCCACTTAACAAAAATCTAGGTATTTAGAGAAGCAAATTTTTGGAGAATTTGTGGGATTTGAATATTCTTTATACATTGCTCCTTGAGGTGCAGGAGTCCACCTGTGAAGTCTGATGCAGAATTAGTAGCTGTCTATCAGCTAAGAAATTGTCCTCTCTATCATTACCACCACCTCTCAAAGCATGCTGCCTTTACCCTCTTAAACATGATCCTGATGGTTGTGATCGCTGTTGGTTGTACAATGGATTTCCTGCCAAAGGCATCAACTTGTCACAATTGCCTCTTGTGCTGAAGCAGACAGAGAAAGAATTGATGAATTTCCTTCCAATAAGCCAATGAGTCTGTGTGCCTGACTGAGTCCAGTCTTGAGGGCAAACCTATTGGGAACTGGACTCAACTTATGTAAGCATCTTGAGCTCCTTAAGGCAGAACTGTGACTGATGACCATTGCTCAGATGTGGAGCTATAACGTTACTGGCCATGTCCGATCCTTTGCTTCTTCCGTTCACCAATTTAAAACATAATAAATGACAGTGGAGGAGGGGTGGATTGAGGAGACTGTGGGAAATTACAAATTTCAGATCTTAGGTGAATTTATCTGTAAATCCAAACAATCTGGTTCACTTATTTTCTTGATGTCTGTAGTATACCCAATTGTTCTACTGCTCTTGATCCTACTGACACCCGCAGAGAAGGAACCAATCCAAATGATTAGCATTTAGAAGGAACAAGTCTGACACCGGACAAAAAGGAATACTGTACCAGCATCATGCACAGCAAAACCCCATATTTAGACAGAGCAAAACCTGTTTTAGAGGTTAAAGGAAAAATGTGTAAGATTCATCACCAGATATAGAAATATCATCTCAAGATATGATGGATAACAGCACACTTTGAAGAAGAGGAACAGGGTGACAAAAAAGGGGGGGTTGCTAAATGCTCTCTGCCTTCTCCCACTAGGAGAAAAGTAACTTGAAGGAGGGTGGTTTTGAATGTACAAAGAAGGAGAAGAGAGGAGGTTAGCCAGGCTTCTTTCTGGTTCTTTTCCAACCTTGGCTATAGCCTGAAAACTGCTTTTCAGTTCTATAGACATAAATGCAAACTTTTGGAAAATTGATAGTCAACAGTGCCTGAAATATGTGTTGACTCTGAGAAATGGCACCCATTTTGGGTGAAGGAAGTCATTTGTGACTTCCTTCACCCAAATGTCTGTGCAGAGCTCCCACGGCTGTGCTTAGCAGGTGGTGCCAGAATGTGAAGCACAATATCTCTCTGTGTGCTTTGGACAGTGAGATCATCTGAGGGTGGTCTTCCTGCATTGATGCATCCTCTCTAAACCACATATCTTTGGGTCATATAACTGAGGCAGGGCAGATCTGTGGGTTGTTTTGGTCCCTCTTGGGCAGTAAGGTGACTCAAAGGAATCAGGGTTAGAAATGTCAGAGAAGGAAAAGAAAACATTCTGGGGATTCTTGACCATGGAAGTTGCTTTTTGTATCACAGTCCCTATAATCCCACAATCAGCATGGAGACTTGTAGCTCCTATTGTTTACTGCAGTATTGTGACCAGAATACTTCTACAGGGACAAGTGCGACAAAACAGTACTGACAGTGAGTATTACTTTTTGCTCTGAATTCCAAAGCATAGAAGTACTTCAGCTAACCTTAAAGAGTCCTTTCACTTATAACACACCCTTAGGACCTGGCCTCTATGGTCGCCCCTGGCAGTGCACAGAATATGAGAACTCTTACCAGTCAGAACTTCCAGCTGATTTTTAAGGTGTCCGAAATGGTTCTAGATCAGGATAGTGTCTGCCAGCTCAGCCCAGTGGAGACACAAACACACAGAGTCAGGAGAGTGGATATTTAACCTTTGCCTCTTGTGGTTGGAGCTCAGTGAATGATTTTCTCATTGCAGTTCCTCAGTGAACTATGAAGCATGCTATAACAAGGCCAAAGTACCGCTATACAGTATTTTCTTAAAAGGAATCCAACAGATGTTAAAATGATTAGAGTTAGGGGGAGGCTATGAATAATGCTACTGAATTCAGTTCCCCTCTGAGGAAATGACACTTTGGACAAGCAGGGTTCTTGTAGTATATGCTTCACGCACTTATATACCAATGGAACATTTAGTGGAGGCAAAAAGCAGATAGCCTGATGAGGCTATAAATCTATAACCTGCCAAGGAGAGAGGTTTGCACCTTCCAGGTTCTTTTTTTCAGATACCTCAGGGTGCAAGGGCTTTTTCATTTTGTTGAGGGCCTTTTTTGGGCAAATCTGTAGCATCTTATCTACAACAGGGCAGAATCTAACTTTAGATGTAACAAATAACAGGTGAATAAACAGAGGAGGGTTGCAGTCTAAATGGGTCAAAGTTAGCAGCCAATATTTAGAAGCAATAGACGAGTGCTGAGGGTGATAGACCAGAAAGGACGGAGGTAGGCTTGGCAGTTGCACTCTGTGCAGCTGCAGGATATCGAAGCACAGAAGACACCATCTTCTTTTTATCTTGTTGAGTTTTTGTCGAGTATAATCCATTGAGAAATGGGTCTGCCTTCAGCTTTCTGCAAAATATCTCAGTTTTTGTGAAAAACTGTTGCGTGCTGTTAATCTGTCTGCCTTAAGCTTTCTGCAAAATATCTCAGCGTAGACACCTTTTCACATTACTGACTTCCAGATATTTTGGCTGTTCACTCCCCTCTTTGGAAGAACTGTATAAGAACAGATGTAAGAGGAAGATATCTACCATACTGAAAGACTCCTCTCATCCGGGATATCAGCTCTTTAAACTATTACCATCAGGAAGGAGATTCAGGGTATTGAAAGCAAGGACAAGCAGATTCAAGAACAGTTTTTACCCAAGTGCAGTATTGAGTTTAAATGCGGGGCCATAGGTTTTTGGTGGAATTTTAATTGCTGAGAGAAAACGGGGTATCTATATTTGGATGGTGAAAGTTGTGTATATTTTAACTTTTTTTTTTTGTAGTGTTGTCCAGTTTTACCTTGGGGAAGAGCACCTCATTTCGTTGCACCCACTTGTGAGCGCAATGACAAATAAATTTCTTATGTCTTATGTCTTATGTCTTATGTCTTTTCACATTACTGACTTCCAGATATTTTATCCCCTTGCCTTCTGCTCCCTACAGCTGATACTTTTTCCCCTCCTGCTGACAGCACCATCTCCCCTCCCCACATCTGGCCTTCACCCCCATCTCATTGCTTTCTTAGTTGGCTGCCCATTTATCTCCCTCTGTCAGCAGCAGTGGCAGTTGTAATATTCTTCTAGGCAGGTATTGAGTCCCAAGATGAGGAGGTGTGAGAAGACACAAAAGCACAACTGTCACTGACTGAACAGGAGGAGGAAGATGGATGGCGGGAATGGGAAGGCCATGCCCCAGAGGCTGGGGAGGCTGGCCTGTGTTTTTTAAAGGAGGTTTTCTATTCTAAGAAGCACACCTCCTTTATCCATATACAACCCCAATGTGAAGGTTTTAACTGGTGACATTTTAGAGACGTCGTGCTATCATCTCTCTCCATCCCTGGATGGTGAGAACTAGTATAACACACACATATATATTTTAGCCTCATTATGGATCAAGAACCATCCAATATCTGCTCACTACATAATTCCCAGCTTATGTCCATTTTATATATTGCTCTCCTTTTTCTGGACCTCTCGATCAACTTGCCAATTTTTCCTCTTGCTACAGTGATTCCCCATGTCTGGGCTTAGAGGTCTGGCCGTTTCCGGTGCCTAAACCTGTGCCAGATTTGGTTTTGGTTTTGAACCATGCCGTGCATCAGCATTTACTTTGAGGGCTGAGTGTGGAGAAGAGACAGGGATGGCGATTGGATGGCTAAGGCACAGATGTCTTCACGTTGTTGGCATTTATTACAATATCCAGAAATGTGGCAATACTTCTCTTAAAGAACAGCCATGGCTGTTGATGGCTTTTGTTCCCTGAAAGCTGACATGATCTGCCAGTATCATGGCCTTCCCAGCTTGCCTCTCAAAAAGGTAGTACAGGAGAGGCTAGATGTCTTCCGCACTAGCCTGTGAGCTCCCTTGTGTTAGCTTTCTTACTGTGCTTGGTTTGAGATGGTTGTTTCCTGTGCAAATCAGCCCTTCATGTTGCTTGCCAATGCGGGTTCACCCAGTGTGGCTGTGTGGTTCTACTATGTGGTTCAGAGGGGCCCATGAGAAGGAAGGAAGGAGCCACTCCGTGACCCTGAATAAGGCTGCTTCCTGCTACCATCAGCAGAGTTCTACCTCCTTGTTTGCCTTTTCTCTCTGGGTGTAACTCCTGCTAGCAAAAGAAAACAGAGCAACTAGAAGTCGCTGTTTCTCCTGTTGTTTCTCTTTGCCCTTTTCATTGGTTTCCTGTGTTGAGGGTGTGCTTAAACCAGGCATCATCATGGAAGAAGAAGAAGAAGAAGAAGAAGAAGAAGAAGAAGAAGAAGCGATCCAGGTTCCCTGGGAACCTTTATCCCAGAGAAGGATTCAAAGGGCATTGTGGGTATTCCTCAGCTCTGCCTCCAGACTCACCATTTTGCCTCTGACTCTGCCCTTCTCCCAGTCAGTAATTTGTACCTGGCTCCAGCTATGGAAACTTGAGAGGCTAGTAAAAAAAAGAAAAGAAAAGAAAAGAGAGAGAAAAGCCTGGACGAAGACAAAGGGCTTTGCAATGTTCCTTGTAGGATCTTAATTTCATGACTTAATAAGTATCGGTATTTCGAGACGTGAAATGAGGCAAGAATAGAGCGTATTTATTTATTTATTAAACTTATATACCACCCATCTAGAGCATGTCTACTCTGGGTGCTTTACACACACATAAAAAAGAAATAAACTAAGAAGGTATAAATGAACTAAAGATAGATTATACACTTTTTTTGTGGGGGAGGGGAGAAGCAGAAACGTTTCCCTTCTTTCCATGGGCACCGTGCCTCTTTTTTCCTTGCACAGAGCTTGCACTCATATCTCAGGGTAGGACAGATGGGAGACGGTGCCTTTTGCCCCAGAAGCCAAAAAACTTCTTGTTACATCTCTGATCAAAGGTAAAGGATCATTATAGTTCTTATTTCTTACAAATGTTGCTCTCTTTCTCACTCCTCACTTTATGCACCAAGCACACTTCTCTCCCTTTTCACTGGAAGAAGAAGGTTGTATTTCTCTGGAGCTACTGCAGTTCCCAGAATATGTACAGGGAACTTTGGGACTCTTCATGTGCCATGTCCAGTGGGGAAAGAAATAGCCTGTTTTGAAGAAGGAGATTGTAATCCATGAGATCTCCAAGTAAAATAAGTCTGCGAGTCTTAAAGATCCTATGAGACATTGCTGTTTTTGTTTTTGTTATGTTCTCCAGCACAGTCTCCTTCCCACAGATTAGTTTGGAAATGTACACAGAGAAAAGATTGGCCTCAAATGCTCCATTGTTAAGATGACAAGATGCAAAGGGTAGGAAAAGGCAAGGGGTTCCTGTATCTTGCACCAGTTTGGCCCACAATCTAAGCTGGGAGAGATTCATCCCACCCCTTTGGGAATGAGCCGCACAGATGATGGACCGCCTTGGGTTATGAATGCAGAGGAGGAAATTTCCATAGGCGTTTCATAATATCATCAAAGCTACATTAGTGAAGACATGCTGCACTTGCCCAAATCCCCACCTTTACACAATACATAACAGTCCTCAAGAAGCTGACACTTGACATCTCTTGTCTATATGCTACAGATGTGGTCCTTTCCATCAAGGCCTCCATCCTGGTCTCCATAGGGATCCCTTAGCATACTAACAGCAAATTAAAGCTATTGCGCCCACAGTCCCCTTTAGCCCTCTGGCTTTAGCAATATTGTCTAGTGAGGATGTGGTCCCAAAGCTGCTGCCCTTGGTCACCTGCTCATCCCACTCCTTCACTGCTTAGGATTCACTACATGGCTATGCTGTCTACCCAACTGCCTCTAGCAACCTGTACTGATGATCTCACCGCATCACCCAACCAAGGCTCTTCCTGATCCACCCTTTCCCCTGCCATGTTTCTCATTGGAGGGAGTCAAAGTCTCTCCTGATACATGCCCACCTCCTGTTCTCAACCTTGCTGCAAAAGAGAATAAAATCGCTCCAATCATCTCATAGATCCCATTCACAACACTGCTGAGGGGACGCAATAAGACTGAAAGGAGGGACGAACAGAGCGGCACAGAACCATTTTCACGCCATCCAGCTGTGTACAATGTCAGGTAAAGCCTGCTGGGTACTGTGGGAGCCAGATATACATTAGAGCTTGGAAAAAGTTTTTTTTTAAATTTTATTTTGAGTTACAATTCTCAGAATTTCTGAGCCAACATGACTTGAGGCTGTACAGTCCACAAAAGTAACTGTGCCAAGCTCTGAGATGCATCTCTTACTGCTCTGGAACCTAGCAGTTTTCTCTTCAAGCATTTAATTATTTTTCTATGTAAGCCACTCTATTCACTGCTGTGAGCCAGGAGTGGCTGCATTCATGAGACCCCGTGGTTGAGTTTCCATTTGGTTTAGCAGCATAGTTGAGCCAGTGAGTTGTACCTTTTCTGGGTTAGCATGCCATGGGCTGCTTTTCAATTAGAAGATGGTACCGTTTTGGCAACTGGAAAGGGAAGATGAAGATGAGCACCACAGAGCTTAGCATGGACATGTGACTTGTGGTTTATGGCGTGTGGTCTCATACCGTAATATATATTTCATAGGGGATTGGAATTACATTTTACACAGAGTAAGATTGAGGATACTTAAGATTTAAGGGTTCTAGTTGTCCACTAGAATGTTGTAATTTTAAAAGAGGGTTTAGTCGTATTAGTCCGTGCTAGCATACCGGCAAAAACAAACAAAAAGAAAAAATAAAGAAGACAAAATGTATTATCAACAACTTTGAGTTTCTGATTTGGGGCCATGTATAAATGAAAAAAATTTTTGCCATGTAGTCCCACTCTTATATCTGAGGAAGTGGATTTGTCCTTGAAACCTCAACATTAAAATACTAATGTCAACATTAGTCTTTAAGATGACATTACATTTTTGTTTTCTTTATCTTAAAAAACATTTTGTTTGTTTGTTTGTTTTACTTAGAATATTGCTGTTCATCAGGCAGGGCAAGGGCAAAACAGGGGCTCCAAAAGCCAAGTATTGAACTGCAAAAGAAGGTGCCTCTTTGATTCCTGCCTAGTTTGCTTTTTTCAAGACCCAAACTGGAATTTGCGCACAGATCCTTCTGCATACAAATCTATATATATATATTTTCTGTCACACACAGGCTTGATTACATCTATCAAATGTTGGATAGGAAAGTGGTATTTTTTTAATTGTTGTGATGATTAAACCATTAAGAGTTGCTGCAAATTACTCAGAGGTCTACCAGTAAATCCCAATATTCTTTTTGCCTGCTCCTGATCTAGAATTATGAATAGTACTACCAGATTTAGGGGAGAATGGATCTAATCACAGAGAGTTACTGAGAAACCTTCAGATGTCCTTCTTTATGAAGCTTTACAGGGGGATGTATTGCATCTGCTTCTGCGGTAGCTAGTATGGAGAAAGGCTATAGAGTCAGAGGGACCGTGGCAAGGTTGGGGTAGAGAATATTTCCAATAAGAGCCAGAGACCAACAGAAGAGAGTAAATAATTTAAGGAGTGCACGCAATTATTAACTTAACACAATGCATTAATTAATTAAATCCTCTACTTATATTAAAAACTGTAATTAAATATTGATACCATGATGCAGAAGATAAGGATGGGATGTTGCCATCTCCTGGAGCTCCAGCCACTTGGGTTGGGCTCCCTCAATGACAGGAGCAATATTTTACCTGTTCTTGAAGAAGAAGTGAGATGGAGACATGGTTCTTCCATTGGGGAACAACTCCGTCAAACCAGGTGGGAGCTGGGCACCCATTCTGCTTGGAGTGCTTTCCAGCAGAAGCGCCCAGTTGGCCACTATATTTAGTAGCTCTTATTTCAAACCAGTGAGCAAGACTGATATTACTGAATTGGGATGGCCACATGTCCATCCTCCAGCTGTAGGGCAACAAGACTGTCCTACACCTGCAGGGCAACAAGAGGGTAAACCTCATTTTGATGGTATTGTCTATTAGAAGGACACTCCATGTCCACATCTGATTTAAAGATAAAGAAGCCAAAGGATGAGAGCAGGGACCTTGAAGATGCCCCTTCATCACAAGCACCTGGGGAGTAGACTGTATCCCACAAGTCATCTTGCCAAGGTCTTCTGCCCCTAAGTGAGTGTATTATAATTCTGTTTAAATTATCAAAATCATCATTAGCTTTATATCTGCAAACACACATCAGCATATATTGTATGAGGGTTTGACTACACAGTAATATACCAGGGTTGGGGGTCAGAGTCAGTACAGTTGAATTTGATGCTTGTTCTATTGGCTACATGACATGAAGCTAATTCCAGGAAAAAAAATAGACTGTTTCCATGGCCATCTGGTGCATTTTGATCTTCCAGCACAGGCTCCTCATATTCTACCAATTGTGCACACACTGATTTTGTTTCGGTTTCTGCTGTGTGGTTGCCTGTCTTGGCCCAAAGGGGACAGTAGGGAGAGGTGATCCCCAGTTCCTGCTTCTTCCAGCCTGATTCTCTCCTCGAAGTTCTTATGGCTGCTCTAGAAAGAGGTGATGTGCCAGTGACCACATTGCCATTGTTGGGTGATGGCTGCAAAAACTCTCAGTTTGCCACATACAGGATCTACATCTGCTTCTTAGCATAGAGACTATCCAGTCTTGAACTGGCCCAATTCAAGTAATGAAATATTGCAAGTCATGTAATATTTCTTGTGTGGCAAGGTGGGTCTAGCTATGAATTTTGTTTCCCAAAGTGGAACCTACCAAGTGTGGCCCTTCTCCACTCCCTCATCATCATTGGGACCAACACATGAAAAAGTTTCTGGGCCCCAGTTCTTGCCTTTGTCTCTTCCATTGCCCCCTCTGCCCTGCTGCATGGCCCTGCCCTAGCTATGAATTAAGGCTCTTGTAATTAATATACAGTTTTTAAAATAATGTAAATTGCAGCCACAGGAGCATGATCATTCTCATGACGGCCAGGGGCAGTGAGTGCATTATTACAAGTGCAGCCAGCAGTCTGACCTTTTCCTCTCGTGGCATGCTGGTCACGATGCAAAGCTCTAACACTACTTGGTCATTGCATTGTAAGCTACGTGTACAGAAATGCAGCTGACTGCGGATGAAAGAGTGTTTCTTTATGGGGTGAACAGCATGGTACTATGTTCTTTCTTTGAGCAGGGGAACCACACACACTTTAACAGCATATTTGGGTTCAAATAACATTTTGAATTTATCTAGGATGCTTTTTCACACCAGCATTGTGCAAGCTGCAATAGAGAAGTGAACGTATGCACCAAAGGAAATAAGGTTTTTAAAATTTTAAATTACACTTTTAAACTAAACACATTAATAAAATACAACATTACATTTGCATTCTATTTACACAAATTACGTGCAAAAATAATAACACAAAGCCATCATGAATTTGACTTCATTCAGCCAGGGGACCATTATATCTTTTTTTCTTAACCTCCTTATACATGACCTTCAAACCATTATTTAAGCATCCTCACATCCCTTCCAAAAATACATATAATCTTGATTCAGCTTTTCCCCTTTCCCTTTACCTGATACAGCATTTAAACATTCATTCCATACCTCATTAAATCTATTTGTCTTTAACTCTCCTTTTTTTTTGAACTTGATTTCCAAAGTTTATCATTATTTGCAACATGAAACTGGAAAACCCAATTTTACTTCAATTTTTTTTGCAATGAGCAATTGTGCTGCTGTTAATATATTCATTATCATTTCTTTTTTTTACATTACTTACATCATCATTTTCTATTAAAAATAATAATGCTACAGTATTTTGTTGATATTTCAATACTAAATTTCAATATTTCTCCAATCTCTTCAAAAACTTTACATCATACCTTTTGTAGCACTTCACAATTTCACCATAAATGCAAGTATGTTCCCAATTCTTTATCACATCTCCAGCATTTCTTAGAATATTTAGCATCTACAATATTTAATTTTACTGGAATTAAGTACCATCTCCATGTTATTTACGGTATACCCGTTTTCTTTTATGCTAATTTATGTAATTTAAAAAACCCTTTTATTCCAAATTCTACTCTCCCAACATCTGTCTCCCATATTGCTTTTAACCATTCCTAACTGATCCTCTTCTTTCTTCAAACATCTGTACAGTATACCTATTCTTCCTTTATCTTTCCTTTCCTCCTTCAAATTATCCAGATTCTTTATAATATTTTCAAGTTTTGTCAATTTCCTATCTATAAATCTAAATTTCTCACTACACTATATTTTATCTAGCATTCCAGTTTCATTAAATTTAACCTACTTAATAGTTCTCCTCCAAACCTAATTCTTATTTATTCCTTATTTTAAATTTTTCCTTCCAATGTATATACCTGTTTTTTTTTTAACGTGTTTTTCAGTTCCTTTCTCCTATATCTTGGAAAACTTTTCAGATTTACTACTGGAGTGAAAGGTGATATTCCAGGTCAAAATACTGGTCTTCATTCATTCCAGGTCATTTATTCCAGGTCTCTAATACATACTTTATAAATGGGTTCTGGGTCTTTTTTATTGTTCTTTTAATGTTACTATTTTTATTTATACCAGTAATTTTCTTGTAACTCTCCCATTTCATATAATTCTTGTAACACTGTATCGTCATTGTCGTTTAGTTGTTTAGTTGAGTCCGACTCATCATGACCCCATGGACCAGAGGTCTTTTCCAAGGAGTCTTCTCTTCTCATGAGATGACCAAAGTGCTGGAGCCTCAGCTTCAGGATCTGTCCTTCCAGTGAGCACTCAGGGTTGATTTCCTTTAGAATTGATAGGTTTGTTCTCCTTGCAGTCCAGGGTACTCTCAAGAGTCTCCTCCAGCACCACAGTTCAAAGGCATCAATTCTTCGGCGGTATGCTTTCTTTATGGTCCAGCTCTCACTTCCATACATCACGACAGGAAAAACCATAGCTTTGACTATTTGGACTTTTGTTGGCAAGGTGATGTCTCTGCTTTTTAAGATGCTGTCAAGGTTTGTCATCGCTTTCCTCCCAAGAAGCAGGCGTCTTTTAATTTCGTGGCTGCTGTCTCCATCTGCAGTGATCATGGAGCCCAAGAAAGTAAAATCTGTCACTGCCTCCATATCTTCCCCTTCTATTTCCCAGGAGGTGATGGGACCAGTGGCCATGATCTTAGTTTTTTTGATGTTGAGTTTCAGACCGTTTTTTGCACTCTCCTCTTTCACCCTCATTACAAGGTTCTTTAATTCCTCCTCACTTTCTGCCATCAGAGTGGTATCATCTGCATATCGGAGGTTGTTGATATTTCTTCCGGCAATCTTAATTCCAGCTTGGGTTTCTTCCAGTCCAGCCTTCCGCATGATGTATTCTGCATATAAGTTAAACAAGCTGGGGGACAATATACAGCCTTGCCGTACTCCTTTCCCAATTTTGAACCAATCAGTTGTTCCATGACCAGTTCTAACTGTTGCTTCCTGCCCCACATATAGGTTTCTCAGGAGACAGATAAAGTGGTCAGGCACTCCCATTTCTTTAAGAACTTGCCATAGTTTGCTGTGGTCCACACAGTCAAAGGCTTTCGCATAGTCAATGAAGCAGAAGTAGATATTTTTCTGGAACTCTCTGGCTTTCTCCATAATCCAGCGCAAGTTAGCAATTTGGTCTCGAGTTCCTCTGCCTCTTCGGAATCCAGCTTGTACTTCTGGGAGTTCTCGGTCCACATACTGCTGAAGCCTACCTTGCAGGATTTTGAGCATAACCTTGCTAGCGTGCGAAATGAGTGCAATTGTACGGTAGTTGGAGCATTCTTTGGCACTGCCTTTCTTTGGGATTGGGATGTAGACTGATCTTTTCCAATCCTCTGGCCACTGTTGAGTTTTCCAAACTTGCTGGCATATTGAATGTAGCACCTTAACAGCATCATCTTTCAAGATTTTAAATAGTTCAACTGGAATGCCATCACCTCCACTGGCCTTGTTGTTAGCCAGGCTTTCTAAGGCCCACTTGACTTCACTCTCCAGGATGTCTGGCTCAAGGTCAGCAACTACATTGTCTGCGATGTCCGGGATATCCAAATCTTTCCGATATAATTCCTCTGTGTATTCTTGCCACCTCGTCTTGACGTCTTCTGCTTCTGTTAGGTCCCTCCCATTTTTGTCTTTTATCATGTTCCTCTAATATCTCCAATTTTCCTGAACAGATCTCTGGTCTTTCCTTTTCTGTTATCTTCCTCTATTTCTTTGCATTGTTCATTTAAGAACGCCCTCTTGTCTCTCCTTGCTATTCTTTGGAAGTCTGAATTCAAGTTTCTGTAACTTTCCCTATCTCCCTTGCATTTTGCTTCCCTTCTCCTCTCTGCTATTTCTAAGGCCTCGTTGGACAGCCACTTTACTTTCTTGCATTTCCTTTTCTTTGGGATGGTTTTCGTTGCTGCCTCCTGGACAATGTTACGAGCCTCTATCCAAAGTTCTTCAGGCACTCTGTCCACCAAATCTAGTTCCTTAAATCTGTTCTTTACTTCCACTGTGTATTCATAAGGGATTTGGTTTAGATTATACCTGAGTGGCCCAGTGGTTTTTCCTAATCTCTTCAGTCTAAGCTTGAATTTTGCTATGAGAAGCTGATGATCAGAACCGCAGTCAGCTCCAGGTCTTGTTTTTGCTGACTGTATAGAGCTTCTCCATCTTTGGCTGCAGAGAATATAATCAATCTGATTTCGATATTGCCCATCTGGTGATTTCCATGTATAGAGTCGCCTCTTGTGTTGTTGGAAAAGAGTGTTTGTGATGACCAGCTTATTCTCTTGACAAAACTCTATTAGCCTTTGTCCTGCTTCGTTCTGAACTCCAAGGCCAAACTTCCCTGTTGTTCCTTTTATCTCTTGGCTCCCTACTTTAGCATTCCAGTCCCCTAGAATGAGAAGAACATCTTTCTTTGGTGTCAGTTCTAGAAGGTGTTGTAAATCTTCATAGAATTGTTCAATTTCAGTCTCCTCAGCAATGCTGGTTGGTGCATAAACTTGGATTATTGTGATGTTGAAAGGTCTGCCTTGGATTCGTATTGACATCTAGATTATATCCCATTACAGCTTTTGCCACTCTTTTGTTGACTATGAGGGATACTCCATTCCTTCTACGGGATTCTTGCCCCAATAGTAGATATGATAATCATCTGAATTGAATTCGCCGATTCCTGTCCATTTTAGTTCACTGATGCCCAGGATGTCAATGTTTATTCTTGCCATCTCCTGTTTGACCACCTCCAGCTTCCCAAGGTTCAAAGATCTTACATTCCAGGTTCCTATGCAATATTTTTCTTTGCAGCATTGGACTTTCCTTTCACTTCCAGGCACGTCCACAGCTGAGCATCCTTTCGGCTTTGGCCCAACCACTTCATTAGCTCTGGAGCTACTTGTACTTGTCCTCCGCTCTTCCTCAGTAGCATGTTGGACGCCTTCCGACCTGAGGGGCCCATCTTCCAGCGTCATATCTTTTAGCCTTTTGTTTCTGATCATGGGGCGTTCTTGGCAAAGATACTGGAGTGGCTTGCCATTTCCTACTCCAGGTGGATTGCGTTTAGTCGGAACTCTCCACTATGACCTGTCCGTCTTGGGTGTCCCTGCACGGCATAGCCCATAGCTTCTCTGAGTTACTCAAGCCCCTTCGCCACGACAAGGCAGCAATCCATGAAGGGGGTAACACTGTATCACCACATATTATTTCCTTATTTTGCCTTATAATATCTGGAATAACTCTTAAGTGGTTTGCTATATAATATTTACTAACATATGGTAGTCCTAAACCTCCTTATTTGTGGTAAAGGCCACATCTTTTATTTAATCCGGTTCTCCAAAGGGATGAAGTGTGGTGCTACGGCCCAGCTACTTGAATCGCAGCGATGGAAAAGCAGAACTGAGCTGATCTGCAAAGCAGATATTGGGCTGCTGTAGGGGTGCTGCTCTCAAGGGCGACCGGGGCCCATGATGCCAATTTCCTTCTCTCCTTTGTCTAGCATTCATTGCAGCAAGCCTGAGTGTACTGACATCTGATGGCTGCCCCTTCTCCCCCAGCCCAGTGGGAGCACCGTGTCTGCTGGGGACCAGTCCAGAATTTGAACACTATGGAGCTGAGGGACCACTGAAGCAGGGGGGCAGCTCCCAGTTGGCCAGGAAAAACCAGTGTGTGTCTGGTGTCACTGTGCAGCTGGAGATGAGGAGCCTTTGGGAAGAGTTCAACAGTCTAGGCACTGAGATGATTGTCACCAAGGCAGGAAGGTAGGTATGATACTCCAAATCCCATTTAAAGAAAGAAAGAAAGAAAGAAAGAAAGAAAGAAAGAAAGAAAGGAAGGAAGGAAGGAAGGAAGAAAGGAAAGAAAAGAAAGAAAGAAAAGAGGCCATGAAGACTGGGAATCTGAGTTCAAAGATTTGAACTCAGAGAGTGGCAATCTTTAGCTTATTCCAGTGTAATGAACAAGAAGACTGGGAATCTGAGTTCAAAGGTTTGAACTCAGAGAGTGGCAAAACTGGAACTACAGCAATCTTTAGCTTATTCCAGTGTAATGAAGATTAAGGGATTAACACCCCTTAATCTTAAAAAAATTTTAAAACTCAACAAAACTTGGCTCCCAGCACTGAAAAATACAGCCTGCAAAAGGTCCACAAACTCTACCCAGCCACAAGGACCGTTGATCACTACACACAAAAGACCAGCTAACAACACCCATCAATCACAGTTACAGATAATCTCTCCTCCTTATCACAACAATAAACCACCCAAAAACGTATCACCACAATCACCCAGCTCCTGAAAAGGACAAAAGCTGATCCCACAGCTATACAGTAACTACACAACTCCCAAACAAACAGCAATAGAGCATGTCTACTCAACTCCCAAACAAACAGCAATAGAGCATGGACAGAGTTCTGACTCCTGTCTTCTGAAGATGCCAGCCACAGAGACTGGCAAAATGTTAGGAAGAACAACCTTCAGAACACGGCCAAAGAGCCTGAAAAACCCACAACAACCACGATTAACACCCCATTGCAATGCTAATAAGGCTGTTTAAGACAGTAGGTTAGTATGCAGGCAATGATCTCAGGAGACAGGGAAGCCAGAGACAACAGTAGAATAGGGCTGGTTGTCAGAATGTATGCTGTTGCCTCTGCCAGTCCTACAATTTCTAACATTACAGCTTTAATTGGTTAGAATGTTTCCCACCCAACAGTAATATAATTTGGCTGAAATCTTCATGCATAGCTAAGCAAATGATGCAACTTTTAGAGGCTAATTGCCCCAAGTTGCCAAATCATTATTGGCATTATTAGTTGCACACTGAATCATACAAGTCAGTATGCAACAGATCATATAGTGACTTCTTAAGGCAATCTGACCCCAACAGTTGTGCTGTTTGTGTTGCACCTGCATAACTAGGAAAGAAGATTTGAGGAGTTCATAAGGTTGTGAGGTTTTTTTAAAGCTCAGTATAGTTGACAAAATATGTTTGTTTGTTTTTCTAGAACTGTTTGAGTCTCTGCTATGTATGTATGCCAGCGTGACAAAACTCTGCTTCTTAAGGCAATCTGACTCCAACAGTTGTGCCGTTTGTGTTGCACCTGCATAACTAGGAAAGAAGATTTGAGGAGTTCATAAGGTTGTGAGGTTTTTTTAAAGCTCAGTATAGTTGACAAAATATGTTTGTTTGTTTTTCTAGAACTGTTTGAGTCTCTGCTATGTATGTATGCCAGCGTGACAAAACTCTGCCTTTCATAACTCTGTAGGTCAGAACCAGGAGGAAGATCCAAATTTAGGTCAGGGGTTGGCAACTAGCAGGTTTCTAGGTGAAGAACTGCAGCTCCCAGGACTATTATCATTGGCTATGCTGCCTATATTTGACAGGAGCTACAGTCTAACAGCATTTTGAAGACCTCATACTCCCCAGACCCACTCTAGGCATTGCATGAGGAAGGTAAGGAAGTGGAAGTCCAAACTGTGCCTTCCCTTCCCTGGCAGGGTGAACTCTGGAGACTTTAGACCACAACTTCCATCAGCACAATTGATTCAGGCATGATGGGAGTGGAAGTCCAAAACATCTATAAGGTACCTTGTTGGGAATGCCTGCCTTATACCTTATGAGTTTCAGTATACCACCTACGTATAATGATCTGGTGATGCTTCTAGCCCCTAGGACAAGAGCTGTTGTGGAACTCCCACTACGGTGGGCAAGACACGCTGCCCTTCCCCATCCAGAAGGAAGCAGCTTGCTCAGTGCCAGTCTCGGCACTGGGCTTCTGAGCACCACGGACCATTGAAGAAAGAGACTCGCTGAAAGTCTGGTACTCAACTTTGTAGACCCTTCAGAGGTCCTGAAGCTCTAGGAAGCTTTCCTAAGTTTACTGATTGCCTATGGTAGCCATAAACCTGCAGCCTATCCTTTCCCTACCTCAAGTCATTGCAGATTTCTAAATCATTTTCTTCCCAGTGTAATATGGAAGTGGAGGGGCCTTGGGAAAGCAGAATCATCTTGCAGACTCCTTTCTCCCCATGACAGGAGAATGTTCCCAACCTTCCAGGTGAAGATATCAGGCATGGATCCCTTGGCTGACTATGTGTTGCTCATGGATTTTGTGCCTTTGGATGACAAGAGATATCGGTAGGTGTCCAGACGACTGTCAATTTGCTCTAGGGATGCACATTCCGAATGGTTTCTGCTGGTGTTAGGGAGTGTGTCAAGCCATCAGAGTGATTCTGAGAATTATCGTTCCAAAAAAATAACTTTTCCAAACTGTGTTTGGAAAATCTGTTTTCAGAGAAGATGAAACATTGTAATAAAGAAGGGGGCAGCCCTCCCTAAACACGAGCAAAATGAAAGTTCCTCATCCTTACACTGGAGTAACCTCTGCTCAGCCCACACCACTGGGATTAAGGTCAAAGCACTTCCACATTATGGAATTGAATACATCTCAGTCACTTCTTGTGTTTCGAACACTCTCCTTGAAAGGAAGCAAGTATTATTTAGACATGTTTTTAGTGAAGAAGCCTGAGGAAGCCTAATAATGAGATACAGCTCAGAGCATGCCCATTGCACCCAGGTAATCAAAGGATTAAGAACAGCACTACATTTTCCTGCATTGTGTAGGGATGCAGAAAGGAACAGGGAATCCAAAAAGTACACAGAGAAAACATATGAAAACATATTGCTGCCCAGAGTAGACCTTTGGTCTAGATGGGCGGGATAGAAATCTAATAAAATAAATAAATAATAAATAGGTTTATCAATATGATGTTTGACTCAAATCGTCTTACGCAGCTCAATCTGCAGAACAGGAATGAAGTCAGCAGCAGCAAGGAAGGTGCCACTGAATAAAGGCATCTTTTGGCAATCTTGGAATGCAGGCAATTTTGTCACATTCTATGCATGTCGCGTGCACCCTCCAATTGTCGAAGGAAGCCTTTAGTCAGCACTGATTGCCTACCGCTGCTGCTCTTTCTCTGAGCGCTGGATGGGTCCAGGTCACAGTATCCCTACAAAATGGAGGATAAGGTTTCTGTATTTTTAGCAGATGTGTGGACAGGGCATTTCAGAAGGTGCAGAAGAAGAAGCCACACCTGCCAAAATGTCTTTTTCTATACAAATGCTGAAGGTACAAAAGCCTTAACTTCCACTTCATGTGGCCAGTCAAATCTTGTCCTTGTCATGATGTTCTTTTTTGGGGACTGAAAACACTTCTTCATCAGTCATGTTCGGAAAGGTCTTGGTCTCTCTTCCATACAGATATGCTTTCCATAGCTCTGCTTGGCTGGTAGCTGGCAAGGCTGATCCAGCAACGCCCGGCCGTGTTCACTTTCACCCTGACTCTCCTGCCAAGGGAGGCCAGTGGATGAGGCAAATTGTCTCCTTTGACAAGCTGAAGCTCACCAACAACTTGATGGATGACAATGGCCATGTAAGTTATTGGAGGACTGCTGCATGGATAGCATCACCCTATAGTTTTAGGTGGTACTCGACTTACTTGTATCTGGCAAATATTGGGAGTTTGTTGTTCGGCTGCAACTCCGAACATTCCTCCTCATTAGTCATGCAGGATAGGACTGACTGGAGTTGCAAACAACATCAAGCCTTCTATAGGACAATAAAGGTGTCTTGATGCGACTGGGTGGATAAATGGGAATAGTTAAACCATCGTCTTTACGGTTTTATTAAAAGACCTTTCTTTTTTTATTTAATAGATCATCCTGAACTCCATGCACAGGTACCAGCCCCGCTTCCATGTGGTGGTAGTAGATCCACGTCCAGACAGTGAACGTTATGCCCAAGAGAATTTCAAATCATTCGTCTTCACTGAGACTCAATTCATGGCAGTGACTGCTTACCAGAACCACAGGGTGAGAGCACAACAATCTAAGGACATCTACCAATATTGTTGGTGAGGGCTGACCTATAAGCAGAGGTCAGGGATAGTGCCCTGCAAAGTGTGGTTGAAAGCTGATCAGTTGATCTGTATAATCACCCTCTGAAATCCTGTTGCTTGGCATAGTTAGTTGTAGAGCAACTGAATCAGTGGAGACTTGGGGAGTCCATTCTTCCCCAAGTTCCATTGATTCAGATGTGCCTACTCTAGTTGTGACTTACTATGCTGAAGTAAGTCACAAGAGCATGACCATTTGAATCAGCGAAGCTTACAGAAGTTGACTCACCAAATCCACACTGATTCAATTGGCCTACTCAAGTGTAACTTACTGTGCTAAGCAACAGGATTTCAGCCATCATATCCTTGGCTCTGGCACTCCAAACTGTGTAATATATTCCTAAGGCATCTTTAATGGAACTGAGATGATGATTGAAAGAAAGGTTTAATATTGTTGTGGACTGTAGCAAGTAGGAATGGGTGTGGGCTGAGGAGGTTCAGTTCCAGATTCCCACTTAGATATGAAACTCATGAGGCAGCCTTATCTTCCCTCTATGCTTTCTCACAGAATCAAGCTTCGTGACACCAACATATGCCACCTTAGCCTCCCCTATGCTTTCTCACAGAATCAAGCTTCAAGTGAGGTGACACCAACATATGCCACCTTAGCCTCCTTTTGTGTGGGAGGTAAGTGGGGATGTGCTAAATAAATATGTATTAACATGTGTGCAGGAGCTCATAAGGTATAGTGGATAGTGTCAGATTAGGAGACCTGGATTCAAATCCCCATTCAGTCATGGCACTAATAAAACCACTCTGTAAACATCTCACATACCTTGGAAACTCTGTTAGTGCTGACGTAAATCTGATGCCACTTGATGGCACCTAACACACAAAATCTGTGCTTTTCCCTTTCTCCAGAACATTCAGAATAGTTGTTTAAGCTTCACAACAAGTTGACACAGAAAAGGGATCTCTTTAATTAATGCCATATCACAGTGCTTAACATGATATCTGGTGTTGCCCTGGGGGAGTGGTAAAAGCATCATGCCCCTCACAGGAAAGGGTGGTGGTGTGGAAGCTGTTCTCTATTTACAAACCCCTCACTCTCTTGGCAGATCACACAGCTGAAAATTGCCAGCAACCCATTTGCAAAAGGGTTCCGGGAGTGCGAGCCGGAGGATTGGTAAGTCAGTTGCCAAATTGCGGCCCACTCAAAAGTGGTGGTGGTGGAAGGGCCAGCCTCCTACATGAGATGGCTGCAAATGGGCCAAACACATGTTCTCCCATTATAATACATATACATATCCAGAAGCAAGCACCCCTTAGTTCAATGGGAGATGGGAGTGTGTGGATAGGATGGCACTTGCTGGAATAATGTTGTCCAACTGCTGCCCTTACCCTCATCAAAGGTTACCATTGGCCTACTCAGATCCGGCTATCCTAGACCGTGGATTCTCCAAGATGTAGGTTTTTTTAAAAAAAGATAAATTTCCAAGGTTCCTCTGCTCCTGATTACTGACAGAAAAGTACAGTAACTCCCAATAGATACTCAGATGCCAATTGCTTCATATTTTCAGGATTTTCTCTTTTCCTACCCCAAAAATACACACAAAAAAGTGGAATGCTCATTATGTTGCTAAACTGCTCTGTCTGCTATCAGCCAATTCTAGACTTTCCTTTTGTAGAATTTAGCACTGTTAAAACTATGTGGTTTTATCAACATGTGGTGATGAAACCAGGATGAAGCTCGTGTCAGCAGCCTTTATCCCACCCTGGAAGCCAAACAAAAATGAAGGATCTAGGAACTAAGAGCAGTAAATAGGAACAGGAGGAGCAGGGCGTGGGGGGAATAAATCCTACGAGCTCCCTCGACAAAAGAGACAGAGAACTTTCAGCCCTCCATGGTCTGGCCATTCCAACTTCCACACTCCATCACCATTATCCATGCCAGAGAGACGGGAGTTGTAAGCTGAAAAATCTGGGGAACCAAATATTCCCACCTTCTTGCTTGGGAGGTCAGTTCTTCATTTTAATTCACACACTTTATCTATCACTGATGAACTCTATCATAATTCTCTCTGTCTCTCTTTCCCTGTAGGCCAGGTTTACCCGGGCAACTCTTAGGCTGCTTATCTCGGAATGGAGGTGCAGCTACCTTAGCCCAGCTGCAGGAGATCCCAGAGAAAGGTGAGATGGAAGGGGAAAAAAGATACTTCTTCTATATAGAGAACTACATTGGAAAGCACAGTCCCTATTCAGTCTATATGGAGAAAACAATTAGCCCTGTTCTACTGAGGTCATAGAGGCTCCCAATATCTGAACAGGCATTAGAGGGTTACATTGGACCAAAAAGATGCAGTGCTTGCTCTGAGACCACAGAGATACAACTCCTTTCTGAATATATGCTTTCTTCACACCCCTCCAGTTCTCACTGCAATGATGGTGGGCTGGTCATCAACCATCTCAGTCCACCACTGGACTCTTGTTCACCAACTTCTCATGTTCTGTCCTCAAGATTGTTTGTATTTAACTTTTTCTTTTGTGTTTGTTTTTGGGGGGTGGTTTTTGTTTTTCTTGAGCACAGAATTTAGTACTGGATGCAGCATTCAGTTGTAAATCTTAGGGGGGGCATGTTTCTAGTCCATATGGGCGCAAATAGTAGCTTGAAAGCATGATTTTATCTAGAAATGACTGAAAGCAAGAGAAGCTGCTGAATCTGAGCTCCCATCATTAGGAAGCAGCATCCCACTGCTCTACGTCTTTTACTTGTCCAGGTGGTGATTAGTAGCAGTGGTATAATTTATGGAGATTCATACAGTGTGGCGTTTCTTGAATCACAGCTGGATTTTTCCCTTTTCAAATTCCACTGTATAAAAACGCTGGTCGCAGTAATGCAATGCTCATGAAGATGGTTAAAATATCTCTTAGGCCTGGTGCCAAAAAGACAACTTGGCAACTTAGTTCAGATAGAGTACTGTACTTAAAACCTTCAAAGACATTTTTATTCCTGTAGTTTGAAGCATCTGAATCATATTGCTTAGATAGATGGGATAATCACATTTCACAATGTTATATGTCCACTGAGAAACCAATATGGGAACTGCCACACAATCTAAAGAAACTGTATAAGTACATGTGAAAGTTACTAATATAATATGGAGTTTCAGCCACCTGAAGATTGCTTTTCAGTAGCTGTTGTAATTCCCTCCATATACTTCTCTGATTCTGAGGCTCAGGGAAATGAGATGCAAGGAGTATTAAGAGTGCTAGCTGGAGGTAGATTCTTCAAGGCATGAGTGGGCAAATGCAATGAGACTGGGAATTAACTTTATCCCCCAGGAGCCACAGTGGGATGCGCAACACTCCAAAATTCACCCTAATTAGCAGCAGCAAGAAGTCCACTTCTGATTTTATATAAAAAATATATTTTTAAAGAAAAACAGCACGAGGGCAACACACATTGTTTTAGAGGAGAATCACGTTTCCTAGAAGTTTCTGGAACCATGATTCTCCCCCCACACACCCTTTTTTAAAAGCTAAGAATAGTTACGGATAGTGGTTTGTGAGAGTTGCAAAATCAAGCAGGGGGGCTTCAAGAACTTTGGGAACCCAAGCCTTCATTCACTCTGCTTAGCAGAACTGTGCCATGGAATCATCAAATCATCAAATGACTTGTAAAGTTGAAAAAGACTGAAAGAGATGCCAGCGGTCACTTAGTTAAACACCTTGACAGTGCAGGAATCCACTAAAGCACCTCTGGTAAAAAGGTAAAGGTAAAGGTTCCCCTTGACACTTTTTGTCCAGTCGTGTTCGACTCTAGGGGGCAGTACTCATCCCCGTTTCCAAGCCATAGAGCCAGCGTTCGTCCGAAGACAATCTTCCGTGGTCACATGGCCAGTGCGACTTAGACACCGAATGTTGTTACCTTCCCACCGAGGTGGTACCTATTTATCTACTTGCATTTGCATGCTTTCGAACCGTTGACGGAAGCTGGGACAAGCGACTGGTGCTCACTCCGTCGCGTGGATTCGATCTTATGACTGCTTGGTCTTCTGCAGCACAGGCTTTTGCGGTTTAGCCCGCAGCACCACCACGTCCCTAGCAGCACCTCCAACCTCTCTTTAAAAATCTCCAAGGAAGGCCCATCATGTTCTAAGAAAGGCCTTCCACTGTTTAACAGCTGTTACTTTTCTAACTTCATCCTAACAAATCATCAGAATCTCCTTTCCTGTAATTTGAAGCCAGTGATTCCGGTCCCACCTTGAGCCACAGAAAATCAGCTTGCTCCATCCTTCACGTGAGAGCCCTTAAACCATCAGAATCTCCTTCCCTGTAATTTGAATCCAGTGATTCTGGTCACACCTTGAGCCACAGAAAACCAGCTTGCTCCATCCTTCACGTGAGAGCCCTTCAGATAAAAATGTTTACCATCATCTCTCCGTTTTTGTTCCTCTATGTCAAACACTCCCATTCCCCACAACCATTCCTTACTGGACTTGATAACCCTCCTGGGGACATGTTCTACCTTTTCCATTCTTTCTCAAACGATGGTCCCCAAAACCCAACGCAGTACTCTTGATGAGATATGATCAAAGCAAAATAGAACTGCATTATTACTTGCCTTGGTCTGAACACTTGGCAGGCTAGAATGATTTGGGGGCGGAGAGAAATTAGTACAACTAATGCTTAGGTAAAGGTTCCTCTTGACATTTAGTCGTCGTGTCCAACTCTAGGGGGCGGTCCTCATCCCCGTCTCCAAGCTGTAGAGCCAGCGTTTGTCCTAAGACAGTTTCTGTGGTCACGTGGCCAGCGCGACTAGCCTCGGAACGCCGTCACCTTCCCACCGTGGTGGTACCTATTTATGTACTCGCATTTACATGCTTTCGAACTGCTAGGCTGGCAGGAGCTGGGACAAGCGACGGAGGCTCACTCCGCCACGTGGATTCGATCTTACGACTGCTAGTCTTCTGACCTTGCAGCCCAGAGGCTTCTGCAGCTTAACCCATAGCGCCACCATGTACAACTAATGCTTAACTTGTTGCTTACTAAGATTTTATTCCTACTGCTGTCAAGCCAGGTATTCTACAACTCATATTTATACATCGTAGTTTTCCTGCCCAAATGCAGAACTCTTGTGTTCATCCCTGTTAAACCCACTCTTTCCTCATGAAAACACAGTCCCTAGTCCTGGCATATCTTTCCTAACAACAGCCAGGCATTCACTCCCAGGATTCTTCTCTGTCGTCCTGGGCCACGATCTTCAATGGCAAGGAGTGATGGAATAACTATACATGGCCCATGGTCATTCCCCTTCTTGCCCAGAGCCTCGTAATCACCTGCAATAAGTTGATGAGTCAGCAGCATTAAAAGAAAAGGTGGGAGACACAAGTATTTAGAAGAGAATGAACTGCACAGGGATGTGTAGCCTGCATAATTAACTTGTAAACCACCCAGAGAGTGCTTGAAGCACTATGGGGCGGTATATAAGCAGCATGCTTTGCTTTTTGGTTTCTCGGGAAGGACCTTTCAAGCTCACTACAGCTACTTTTCCCTTTCCAGGGTTTACCAACAACCAACATCTCCCTCCTCCCCTTCTTAGAGAAGCTTCGCAGCTCCAGCACCCACCTCTGGTGACACCAGCCAGCCTCCCTGACATGTGCATTGCTCGGCGGCCCTTGAATGAAGCATCCGGGGCTCTGCCCTACAAGCATCTTTCCTATCACAGCATCTACGTGGGAGCCCGTACACGGGCAGCACCATACACACTCCCCAGTAGCCGGGCGACCAGCTTCCACGCGCTCAACATCTACACAGCTGGAGGCTATGAACAATGAAGGACAAAAGTAGGATGGACAGATCAGGCCCCTCCCTACCCCCCTCCCTCCTCAGGCTGAATCTCCACATCCCAATTTCACCTTCCTTGTCTAGACCACTGCACTATCCAGCAAGGATAGCATCATCCATGCCAGAGCTTGCCCTCCTCCGGAAACACCTGCAATTTATTTAAGCCATTTATTAACACCCAAGGCAAAAAAGTGACATTCTTAATCCATGCTCATCAGTTCTATGGTGTCAGAATGTAGTTGGTGCAAAATCAGCTTCCTTCCAAAAGTGTGAGAACCCAAACTGACAAGGAATATACATTACTGAGTATATACTGAGCCTTCCATTTCCAATTTGTGTCATTCTCCTTTGAAATATCCCACAAAGTAAAAGCAGGGTCCTGGGGTGATTTTCCCCTTCCTCAACCTCTGACATCCCTGCCCCCCAAGAAAACAGCCTGAAAAAGACTGGCTTCTGAAGATTGCCTCCCAGAAGCATCATGGCCTCTCAATTTTCCATCATCCCCTCTAAGGCCTGCTTTAGGTCTTAAAAAGCTCTTTTAAGAAACAGAAAGTGCCTGACCACTCAATTCTTTTCTTTGCCTTTCCAAAAGGTTCTTAAGGCCTAAAACCAACTCATCAGTTGTGAATTGGGTCGACAGTCCAGCTGGGTCTGCAGATGGCTTGAAGAACACAATGTCCATTTTGGAAATATGTTTTTCGGAGTGTTTTGGAGGTGGGGGCCCCTAGGAGGCCACAAGTGACTGACAGGCTAGACATGCCCATGCCTACTGTACAGCCTACAATTATAAACCAAGTCAACCAAGCCTCATGCACAGAAAACTGGTATACTCATGTGCACAGCACATACCACACCCTTAAACTCTACTCTGCAAAGCCTAATTGACAAACAAGCTTTGCAACAACAAATAACAACAAAAAACCCCGAGAAGCAAATATAAAAATGCAGGGAGACTTTATGTTTTTATTGTGGAATTTAGTGGTTACAGTGATGGGACAAAATTTGAGGAGGGGTTGGCACAGAATTCTAGAAAAGCCTGCTCATGGCACTTGTCCTTCTCTTCAAATGCAGGCCTCTGCAGAGGGAGTGAAAGGTGCTGCTAGGACCACCTTGCCTTCAATATGAAGGAAAACTGTTCTGCGTTTCATGCTCCAAGCACCTTGTCTTTGGAAATAAATGCCAGCTGTATTGATCTCTTGCTGCTGGCATCTGATTTTCCTACTAGGAACAGGCCAAGCATTGCTAGACTAACCTGCATATATTAGCCATCAGCATGTTAACTAAAAGTGCAGATATACAGAACCTTCAAATCAGAAGAAAGGTTTGGATCTAATCTACAGCTCTACTTCATGTATTGGCTTGTGAAGTTTATGCTCAGATTCCTTACCAGAGGAACAGTCTTTCTGAGAGAACCTGCCTCTTGGAAATTGACCCCTGCTACGATTATACTGTCTATTTCCAAAATGAAGAAGGCTACTGCTGCAAATAAGCCTGGGTCACACAGTAGCTCTGCAAGCACACGCAGGTAGCATCGTCCATATTCTGATGTTCCTTAAGGCCACAGGTATCCTTCCTAGCAGCATTTTTACAGCTGCTAAAATATGCACAAAGCAGGCTGGTTCAGCTGTAAGTCCTGGAAGGAAGGTGGCAGGGCGCAGGTTCTGTAACCCCCCCCCCTAATCTCAGAATTCCATTCCAAATACTGTACTGATATCTCATCAGCGAGGCAGTACAGGACCTCGCTTTAATTGGGATGGACAGTGAGAGATGGGGTAGGCAGTTCCTCCTCTAACTAAGGGATGAGATTTAAAAAAGCTCTGTCACATCATAGGACAGGAGGCACTGCTGGTAGAAAAAGGAGAAGCAAAAGGTAAGTCAGTCAAGTTAAAAATAAAAGGCAGCATAAGCCAATCTGTTTTTGCACTGGCTCACGAGGGCACAAAGTATCACTCCTCTTTGGGAAGAAGGAATCCGCTCAGTTTCTCAGTCCCAGATGTCTTCAGTGAAGGTGAATGGGCGGAACCGGTACCCGGCACCTCCATAGAATTTGTTCTGGAATTCCACCCTGAAAAAAGTTAAGTTTGATCAGGACATGTCTTACTGGACTAACTCACAGATTGTAACCCACCCAATGCAACCCCAGTCATTGCAACCAACAGTCAACTGCTGGGAGTGTCTTCTGCCATGCCCGGCCCCTCCCTCCCACCCAGAACACCAGGCCTGGCCCTTGGAGGAGGATCATCTTAGCGGTCCCGCTCTGTCCAAATCTCTCAGCACAAGAGTGAAGGCCAAGGCAGTCTAAGCTGAGGGATGAGGTAGCAGCTGTCGCACAAGCTTATGCATCACTAACAGAACTGGGAGGAAAAAGGGGTCTAATGTGCACATAAGGGTCTTACCAGTGCAGACGCAGAGCGTGCAGGAAAGCCGAGAGCCCCTCCATCACAAGCAGGATGGCCACCGTCAGTACCGCAAAGAAAGCAAAGATGGGCACAAGCAATACTCCACCCTGGTACCCCGTCATCCGGAAGCCATTCCTCATCACCATGCTCCACAGCACCTCCGAGAGCTCTGCGGATAGGGAGGGAGGGACCGTCAAGGAAGCGCAGGGCAGCCAAACATCCACTCCCCCTCCCTACTGCACACCAGAAACCTTTTGGGGGGGGGAGGGAAGAGGAACGATTGAAGGCAAAGACTCCTCGCCAATGTGTGCTCACATGTGCACACAGAGCTTTCTCCAAAGGTTCAGAGGCACCTGCCAGCCACAACCTCTACCCGTCGCTGCCCCACCACCCCCACCATCACCACGAGAGATGTGTGCCTCCTGTTCTGTGCCTCCCCACCCCCACCCCTCTTGAAACTCACGTGCGTGGGCCAAGCTGAGAGCCCAGAGACGCAGGTAGGAGGCAGTGTTGGAGATGCAGCCCAGGCAGAACTCAATTGTGTGGATCGCCTGATGCATGAACACATCGGAGAAGTCAAACTGAAGGGGAGACAGGCAACCATCAGGATGTGGGCAAGGATTAGCCTGAAGCCCCGCACTGCTGTCTTACTGGGAAATAGGATCCAAGGACCCGAAGGAGAGTCCCCTGAAGCTCCTTCTAGAGTCAAAAGGTAATGTTTTGGGGGCAAGAGGCAACAGGAAAGGAAACTAAGGCTCTAAGGATTCTTTGTAAACAAGCAGAGCAGGAGTGGGCAGTTGTGTCCCTCCTGATTTTCCCCCCTTCTTCTTCTTCTACAGCTCCCACTGCTGGCTGGACAGCTCAGTGAGTCAGGCATCTGGCTGTGGAGGCAAAGATTGGGAGTTCGATTCCCCACCGTCCCTCCTGTCAAAAAAAGTCAGCCTGGGTGGCCTTGGGCAAACTGCACAGTCCCAGGGCTCCCCCCAGAAGAACGGAAAGGTCAACCGCTTCTGAGTATTCTCTACTCAGAAAACCCTGAAAAGGGTCATTGTAAGTCAGAATTGACTTGATAGAATACAACTATTATTATTACGACTCCCAGCAGCTTCTGCAAACACAGCCAGTGGTCATGAGTTCTAGTCCAAATGCACCCAGAGGGCCACAGCTTCTCACTGCTAGATTAGAGACTTCCAGGCCAAACTGATTTCTACAGAAAACAACACACTGCCAAAAAAAGACAGGACCATACTAAGCCAGATTCTGAGGCTTTGCTTTTGTGTGTCTGCCTTTACAGCATTCCGTACCTCCTCATCCTTACGGTGCACACAAGAGCATGCAAAGAGTTCCCACAGGGGAACCATGTCCCCTCCTCTCCCAAGCAAAGCCTCCCACCTCAGACAAAGTCCTGATGTACAACTCATTGATGGGAATATGAAACATAATAAAAAGCTGGATGTTTCCCACAGTATTCAATTATTCAACCTTTTAAGAAAAGGACCAATGTCTTGGGTACATACACGTTTCTCTATTTGGTCTGAACCACACCCAGAGGGACCCACCAGCAGCTGTCCTGTTACACAGCCTCAACAGGCTGCAATAATTTGCTTTATAACTGTGTGGGCTCTTCCAATAACAGAGGTCTGAGAATGAACCATTGCAATGGCTTCTCGTCAGCAACCCTTACAGAGTCACAAGACTTGAGAAATCAAAACATGTTTCAAGCTCTTGTACTGTCAAAGCTTAACTCTTTCTGAATAGGAAATCAGGAGATCTCCGTGGACCTGCTAGAATTAAGGACTGGAAGTTACTTTCTTAGTTCTCTGTTGGCCTGCAGAGCTAAGAGTAATTTCTCTGCTTTAAGACTTTTTTTTTCTTCTGTGGTAGGTCCTTTCAAATACAATTGAAAATGGGGAGGGCTTCTTAAGAATGTGAAGCTTACAATTTCCTCATCTAGCATCTTCCGCATTTGCATTTACACACAGACTCATGCATGCGCGCGCGTGCACACACATACACAAATATGTAATTTCATTACATATTTGGAAAATAGAAGTAGGCCTTTCAAGGTTCTTAAGAATAGACTGACCTGTTTCAGTGCTTCTGAATGAAGCAAACAATGAAGTATTCCAGGTAGGTGGCAATTCTGCCGTTTTAAAATGCTTAAACTGGAAGGAGGGGAAGGTTAAGCAAGTTCCCAAAAGTTGGTGTTACCTCCAATTCCTGTTTGTGATTTGTGCGATCCAGATCATCCTCGGCAACATTGACAGATCTGCTTGGCTCCGAGTTTAACAGAGACTGATGCTCTTCTGCAGTGGAGGGATTGGGCTGGAAACATCGCAGAACAGGCCTTCAGTTATAAATGAAGGTATCTCACACACAGAGAGAACAGCTTCCCCTCTCACTGCCTTACCCGGCTTCCATCCTGATTCTATACTATGACATTTTAAAGCACACAAACCCCACAGCTCTGCTATCCTTACCATATGCCACCCAAAAGGGATGTATCGTGCAGCCCTCTAGAGCAGGCTTGTCCAACCCGCAGCCCGAGGGCCGCATGCGGCCCAGCTGAGCTCGTAATGCGGCCCAGTGCAATTTTTCATTTTAAAAGAAACATTTGCATTTACACACAGACTCATGCATGCGCGCGCGTGCACACACATACACAAATATGTAATTTCATTACATATTTGGAAAATAGAAGTAGGCCTTTCAAGGTTCTTAAGAATAGACTGACCTGTTTCAGTGCTTCTGAATGAAGCAAACAATGAAGTATTCCAGGTAGGTGGCAATTCTGCCGTTTTAAAATGCTTAAACTGGAAGGAGGGGAAGGTTAAGCAAGTTCCCAAAAGTTGGTGTTACCTCCAATTCCTGTTTGTGATTTGTGCGATCCAGATCATCCTCGGCAACATTGACAGATCTGCTTGGCTCCGAGTTTAACAGAGACTGATGCTCTTCTGCAGTGGAGGGATTGGGCTGGAAACATCGCAGAACAGGCCTTCAGTTATAAATGAAGGTATCTCACACACAGAGAGAACAGCTTCCCCTCTCACTGCCTTACCCGGCTTCCATCCTGATTCTATACTATGACATTTTAAAAGCACATAAACCCCACAGCTCTGCTATCCTTACCATGTGCCACCCAAAAGGGATGTATCGTGCAGGCCCTCTAGAGGCTGCGCCAACATAGCTAATGGTGAGGGATGCTGGGAGTTACAGTCTGAAAACATAGGGGAGCCACATGTTCACCATCCCTGATGTACATCTTCACTTGAGGAACCTAAGTAGTTCTCAGGGGCTACAGCCAATCTTTGAGCCCCTTCTTAAAGGGCTCCATACCAGTCAACCCACGCAAGGGCACTGACCATGGCCTGGCAAAATAGCAGAGGTGATATGAACTAGAGACCCAAACTCTAACACAGAAAAAAGAGTCTTACCCTGAACTGAGAAGCCCTGTGTCGATGCTGGCACCAGAGATATAAGGGCGTCCCCAACAACAGGACAGGCACGGAGATCAGGGCCACCACCACCAACACGATCTGCACCCCTCATGCGGTCCAAACCAAATGTATGTGCGTCCCAAACCAAATTTTCATCTTCTAATGTGGCCCAGGGAAGGTGAAAGGTTGGACACCCCTGCTCTAGAGGCTGGTGGACTGCATTTCCCATCAGGCTGCGCCAACATAGCTAATGGTGAGGGATGCTGGGAGTTACAGTCTGAAAAGATAGGGGAGCCACATGTTCACCATCCCTGATGTACATCTTCACTTGAGGTACCTAAGTAGTTCTCAGGGGCTACAGCCCAGACTCAGTCTTTGAGCCCCTTCTTAAAGGGCTCCATACCAGTCAACCCACGCAAGGGCACTGACCATGGCCTGGCAAAATAGCAGAGGTGATATGAACTAGAGACCCAAACTCTAACACAGAAAAAAGAGTCTTACCCTGAACTGAGAAGCCCTGTGTCGATGCTGGCACCAGAGATATAAGGGCGTCCCCAACAACAGGACAGGCACAGAGATCAGGGCCACCACCACCAACACGATCTGCACTTGGACCTGCAACAAAGGAGAGAGCTCTAGCAACCTCTTCTCTCCTAACTCAGAGCTGGGCTAGAGACCCACTGGCAGAGGAGTAAGCAAATCATTACTTGGGGAGGACTATGGGCCTGATTATAGATCTGAGTGGCATCGTCCTCTCTCTTTTTTCCTCACACTTAGGCCAAATTAGACTTGTTAGTCTTTAAGGTGCCACAGGATTCCACGTTGCTTTTGTTGTAACAGAATAATCCAGCCTTTCCACTCAATAATAAAACTGCAAAGAAACAGATCAAAATGTTACAGTCTGTCAGCTGGAAACGAAGGAGACAAACCTAGTACTGTCCTTTTAAGGGGTCACGTATCTCAGACACAGTGTTAGGGACAAGCAATACAGCAAACCTGATGCTGCATCAAAACAAAGCATTGTCAAATAAACAGGGATGCACTCCTAACACCACAAAAGGAAGTCATGCTATTTGGGTTCCTCTATTAAGTGCCAATTCCTTGTACTGATAACAGATTTTTTTCAAATCAGAGCAAAGGCACCCAGAAATATACAAAAAGAAAACGAAAAGGAGTAGGCAATAATGGATTCAGGATTTGAGAAAACACAGCCCAATTTGGGGGTAGAGGGGGTCCCCCGGGTGATGCATTTTGTCTTCTTCCCGAGGTTCTCATTTGTTCACTCTACTTAAAGCCTAGCAAGTCAACTTCTGTCCAGATCAACCAGCGCTGTGACTTCATGGAGTCATGGAACTGACTTCACTAGTCAATTCACACATGTACCTTCATCACTTGGTGCCATTCACATTTGCAGATAGGTCATCAGCCGGTGACAAGAAACGGTTCACCTTTGTGAAACAGCCATCACCGATCAAGCACCACAGAACCGGCCACATCTAAAGAACGTTTGGTAACACTGCCGGCGAAAACTAGCTTGCAAATTAAGCCGCAGTTCATCCCACAGCCAGGGTATCAGATGATGAACGAACGAAGGTGAACACCAAAGTTAGCTCAACTAAATACTTCTGTAAGCAACCAGAACTGCTGGATAGCTCAGTTTAGGTCTCTGGCTGTAGAGCCAGAGGTTGGGAGTTCGATTCCTCACTATGCTTCTTTGACATGGGCTGGACTTGATAATCTATAGAGTTCCTTCCAACTCTGTAGTTCTATGATTGACTGATTGATTTTATTATCCCACCGGCCTGCTTATGCCATTCGGCAGATAGGATAATCTACCTATTGCAAGCAATCTTCAGAGATATTGGAATATACTGTCTCAGTTTATTTAGAGTACATCATTGTCTTGTTCAGTCCGGCAAATTCTGAGTGCAATCATGTCCTGGTGGAACAAGCCAAGGTAAAATGGGAGGAAACTCTCAGGGAACCTGGAGGAGGAAGTACTTCCTGGGGAGGAAACTTAACAAAGTCACAAGCACTTACCTGGTATTCAAAGAGTGGAAGGTTAGCTTTATTCTCCGCGAACAGGAACATGTCAATGAAGTGGATGAGAATGCTGGGTGCCCACCGAGAATTAGAAACATTGTACATCACCCATTTGTAAAAGATCATGACCACAAGGTAGCCGAAGAGGGACAGCAGGAAGACCATCTCCGGAAGGAAAACCAGTAGAATTTTGTATAGGTGCTTGAAGTGGCTGCAAGTCAGGCAGAAAAGAGTAAATATCACCAAGAGAAGGAGTTCTAGACAATCCTCAGGGACATATAAACATCCTGCTGAATTGGCCCAAAGGTTAGCACCCCACAGTCGCCTGTAAGATGCCTCTGTGAGACATAAAGTCTAGTGAAATACACTAACTGTGGTTCCTCAGGGATTGGCACTAACAGCCAGGCAGAGCTTTACATTCCATGAAGTCACCTAGCCCTGTCTTGGTAACCTCTTTGCCAACTTAAAGCAACATGGAATTTCCACACAACACAATGGGAATAATGGTGGGTTCCTTAACCTCCTTCACAGGAATAGCCAGGCACTTACATGTGGTTGAAGATACCAAGAAAGACCCCAAAGGTCATGTGCACAATGCCCAAGATCACAGACATCTTCATTTTGAAGGAGTTCAGAAAGGTGAGATGATTGACAGCCAGACTCCAGATCTGATTCACAAGAGTAGGAGGAAAAGAAACACACACATAAGACTGTGGACATATTTTCCAAAGGGAAAAGAAGAAAAAATGGGGATAATGGACTACTATAATCTTGACAGACCTAGAAGTCTCATTCTGAGCCACATCTGGATACTTGACAGAAAAGTACACTACTTTAAAGCAGTGCTTTCCCTGGGAAATTTCCATTTTTAAAAAGTCCAGTGCTTCATAAATTCATAGAGATTACTAGATAAACTTGGCAATTTCATTGGTAGTTTTCAAAAGACAAGGGAATGCATGAGAACATAATCAGGATTATTGATTTGTAATCAGGAAGGGAAAATAGCATCACAAATGCGCACAACAACCCAGCCAAAACAAAAACAAAAAACAAAAAAAGAAGGCAGCAATTCTTTTGACTGGCTACAAATATTAGATTAAAACCAGAGCTATAATTCTTATTTCATTTTACCTTGCAGGCAAAACCAAGATTCAGATTACTTTGTTCTTTTCACTTTCACTAAAGGTGCACATAATTTTGTTCATTTCTTTTCTGGAATTGGGGAAATGTGAAATGGCTAGATAAGATTTGTTTCTTTTTTACCCCAGCACTTGCAGCAGAGACGTTGCTTAGCAAGCAAGAGAGTCTTCTCTCCCATGGGGGAAAGGGAGCCTGAGATCAAAGCTTGGAGACCTTTTTTTTTAGAGATTATAATTCCCAGAGTCCTTCAGTCAGGAGAAACACTGATTAGGTTGGCTAGGGGATTTGGGGAATGGAAGCCCAACATTTAGGGACTCTTCAGATTGTAACCATTATTTGAAATTGCCACATGTATCTTAAGGAAGCTGCAACAGCAGCATACTGTAAGTCTTTCAGTGACCACGAACAGGACAAAGGGAAAGGGAAAGATCTAACACATGCTTCCCAAACTCACTTTCTGTTTCTCAAAATTTCTTGCTTTTGGTGAATACACACAGCTAGTGAAAAGATGAAATGAGACTGGCCGCCATTGCTAATCACTGCCTGGTATGACCATCTCTTAGCACATGGATGAAAATACTGTGACCCTCCAGACATAAAGGAAGCTCATACAATACTGACATCTTTTCAAAATCCTCCACCAATACTCCAGTAAAACCAATGTCTCCACAAAGCCTTGAAAATATATATATATATTTCTCCTAGTCAAATACTGCAATCCAGCTACTGGGACTGGAGGTTAATACAGAGCATCTTGTATTAATTAGAGAACTTTTATAAAAGGAGAACTTTTATAAAATTGTCTGGCAATGGTATCTAACTCTGGTGAAATTAAATCAATGGGAATGTGACAGTGTGATGAAATATTGGCAAATGGTATTTATGGAAATAAAAGAAATAATCAAGCAAAATGTAAAAGTGTGCCCTAAAGTAGCACTTTTATCAATATTTCATAAGGAGGAATATAATTGGGCAACTCAAGAACTAATTTCTAATTTATTACCGGCAGGTAGATTAATGGTAGCGAAGTACTGGAAAATACAAGACAATTTTCAGTTAAATGAATGGTATAAAGAAGTATGGAATATAGCTATCAATGATAAATTAATGTGTAATATTAAAGTAAAGAAAGGACTGCTTAAAAGGTATACTTTTGCACAAATCTGAGGAGACTTTATTGATCATACATTACTAAACAGAAAATTTCCCCAGCATAATTAAAGAGCCCCTAAAAGGGAAGGGGAATCATTGAAGGAAAGAATTGTTTAGATCTCGATTGGTCCCGATGGGGAAGGGCAAATAGTTATAATTTTAAAACGGTATGCATTAAAAAGCTGTGTCTTATTTGTTTTTCTGTTTAATTTTTAGTTTCTTTAATTTGGAATGTGTAGTGTATGTAGGTTTATGATAAAACATTTTAAAAAAACTAATTATAGGTCAACTAAATATTACAAATCATAACTTGCTTAGGGCATGGGAAAAGGCTCCCAAGTTGAACGGTTAGACTGGAATGTCAAGTGCCTGCCTCCCTTCCTTCTCTTTAGGGAGAGCTGGCTTCAACTGCACAACGAGTCACAAAATTCAGTGGCCAACCTGGGACTGACTGGTCCTTCTCTCTCAGCCATGATGAACTAGGAAAGAAGACTTACGTATGTCAAGTGTTTTGAAAGGCAGGATACAAATTTAATCAAAAATTAATAGCAAAACCCATGTAGCTGATTTTAAGCTAACTGAAAAGTAATAGTTTTCATAAATAATACCCAGAGACCTTCGGGTAGTGTGGGCAGGGTAGCGAAGTACTGGAAAATACAAGACAATTTTCAGTTAAATGAATGGTATAAAGAAGTATGGAATATAGCTATCAATGATAAATTAATGTGTAATATTAAAGTAAAGAAAGGACTGCTTAAAAGGTATACTTTTGCACAAATCTGAGGAGACTTTATTGATCATACATTACTAAACAGAAAATTTCCCCAGCATAATTAAAGAGCCCCTAACCACCCTTCATTTCACACACCAAGCAATAGTGAACAAGGTTCCTAAAAGCCATATCAAGGTTTTTCACACAGATTTGTTCTTTCGGTATTTACTTACCGGGTCTATCCCAAAAGGGTAGGGACCATTGAAAACTCCTGTGATATTTGGGTTCAGGGGAAGAACAGGGTTTGCATGGATATAGTCCCAACTGTAAGGAAAAGGACACCTTCTGAATATGAGCGTGACGAGGCAAAGGAAGAGGATGGAAAAAGGATGAGGCAAACATGGCTTTGGGGCACAGGCAGGATACTACCTCCATTCTGATTGGTTGGCCATTGCAGCAACACTCCAAGCAGAGGGGAAGATGGTGGTGGCCTTGCTGAAGCATTCGTTGTAGATGAAACCGGTGTACACAGAGAAGGCTCCCATCAGAAGGATGAGGTATCGTCCCTCAAAGAACGTTTGCCAGATCTGGGGAATAGTAATTTAATCAAAATAAAGACAAGTGTGTGGGAGATAACAAGAGAGAAATCTAGGAGGTAGTGTTTTATACTGTAGTGCTTAGAGCATAACTGAATATCACTCGGTGGGATGAGGACCTCTCTGGGGATGCTCACTAGCCATCCCCAAACTGATTGTGGATCATCCTGTGACCTTCACACCAAATTTCCTGCATCAGCAGTAAAAAAAAAATTCCTTCCTCTTAAACAAGAAGCACACTCTCTACATGCCTTGCTTGGAAAAGAATGATTTTTTTCCTAAGAACTGGGCTTCTGGGAAGCGTATGGCTTGTTTTAAAAGAAAGGTTGTCCTATATGTCACTACCGTGGTGACGAATTCAATAGCAGGGGCCAAGGAAGGATTCCCCCCCCAAAAAAATCAGACAGGTTATGTTGTGTGCAGCCCTCATACTGCCAATCCTGGGTCACAATATCCATCTATGACCTGGAAGACCTATTTTCAAATCTTTGAAGTTTGCTGGGCAACCTTGGGCCAGTCAGAGTATAACCTGCCTTGCAAGTGTGTAATAAAGCTATAAAATGAGGGTAGAGAAGAAAATCTATTTACGCTGCTCTGACCTGCTTCTACATACATGCGTTCCCAGGTCTGATCTTGGGGCAAGTTGCAGAAATCTGGAATTCCCCACAACTCTTTCCCCCACTCCAAGCATCTGTCCTTGGAGATGCCTCACCTCATTTTCCACCTTCTTCATGCCAGGACTATTCTCCTTTAGCACCATCCAAAGGGCAAAGAGAAACATCAGCAGCCCATGGCCAATGTCCCCAAACATGACGGCAAACAGGAACGGGAAGGTGATGATGGTGTAGGGAGCTGCAAAGCAGATCCAGTATCACATCAGAAGCCCAGAGAAACCTTTCACATCAAAACACACCAAGCTACCTGTGCTTCATACAACCCAGCCCTCAATGTCCTGCAGTCCCTCCTTTCCTTTGAACTATAATCTAGCTGGATAAATATAACAGTTATCCTCCTAGATCCTTCTCTGCTTTCACCGATCACAATGCACCCCCTAATCCACACTCCAGGTTTTGTTCTTCTCTCTTTTTATGCCACAGCCAGCCTGCCCATCAAATACAAAGCTTTCCTTTCTTTGGGATTGGGGGGGGGTAGACTCACTGCCTCCAACATCAGGGGGCGATACCTACAGTTCTCTTCCCCCCTCCCCAAGCATATGTGCCTCTGAGCCATCAGTAGGCCTCTGAGAGGAAAGAGAAGGGTGTCTGTTGCTGATCTCCTCACCTGGGTTCACTTCCTGATAACTGGCCACCCCATAGGCATCAACAATGTTCTGGAAGCCAGATGTGAACTTGTTGGTGCGGATGAGGGTAGGGGGGCTCTCAGTGCAGGGGATCCGGTGGGCAAAGGACTCCACGGCAGAGCCGCTGCGGTGCTGAAAGGGCAAAAGATCAGGCAGAGAAGTTGAGGAGCTTCAAATTGATTGAGACGCCCAGGAGATCTTAAATGCAATGTATTATTAAGGCTATGTGCACAGAAGTACTTCCAGAAGAAAATGCTCTAAACTTTGAGAGAAAGCCCCTAAGGGCTGTGAGTCAACTCAAATAACTCTATAGAGACCAAGTGTGTCTATTGGCCATGGAATACTGATAGGAAGAGGGAAAACGGAATGACGTGTCCTCAAAAAGGGCCTGATTCTCGCCAACCAGCTGTGAACAGGAGCACCCCATATCCCAATACTGCACTAGAAAAGCAGACAAATGGCACCTGCTCTATGATTAAAAACAGGAATAGGGAATTAGACTGAACAGTACATTGGAAAGATAAGCAAAGATGTTCAGCATAACAGGCAGCGCAGAGTGAAGGAATGTACAGGGAATGTTCAGAGAGGTGTTCAATAACACTTACCGATCCATCTCTCAGGGCCTCCTGTACAGCTGGGAGATCACGCACGGGACACCACACTTCCCCAATGAGGCACTTGTCCGTGATATTGAAGCTACACTGGTTGAGGATGAAGTAGATGGCCTTCATCTTCTGGATCTGCACTTGCCATGCAGGAAGCAACAGGAGCACCTTTTGCAGCACTTGGTCTAGATACTGCTCTGTCTGGCCTAAAACCTGTTTTGCAGAAGAAATGTTGGGGCAAAACTGAGATCATAGACTTCAGGCACAAGGAAGATTTTGTGTGATGGAGGGAGGGAGGGAATGACTTGGAATTCATCTGTGTCAAAGCTCCTATGATGGCACTAAAAGTTTTTTTAAAAAAATCTCCTTGCTGATGAATTGAGGGCATCAAAGACCCTTTACAGTGGTTTATTTAACCTGTTTAACCTGTTAACCAAAAGGAAGGACGGAAGGAAGGAAGGAAGGAAGGAGGGAGGGAGGGAGGAATAGAAGGCATTGTTCAAACAAATCTTTCCCAAAATTGCCTGTAGACGTAGTAGCACCCAAGACTGCAGACTTGCATTGGTAACTGCAGAACAAAAATCTTGCTTTCTACATGATCACAGTCTTCTACAGCCACTGTGTACAACAAAATCCTGTGTATTGCTTCTATCTCACTGAGCCTAACATGACAAAAGCATTAAAATTGAGTGGTGGAGGGAGGGTAGGGGGACTCTCAGTGCTATTCTTCCCACAAACTTACAGTCTGTGGAACAAACGCATTCCGTTTAGTTGAGTGGGGAAAGTGGGCAGTGTGTGAGATATACTGGGAAGGCAGGATAAGACGCACAAGTACCTCCAGTGAAGAAGTTTGGGTATTAACAAGGGGAACATATACGGAGACTGAAAAGCAACTGTTGAATTTTTAAAACTGTCAGATCTTTTACACTGGCTAGTCAATATGAATGAGGGGAGAAAAAACCATACAAATAAATAATAACTTTTAAATAAGAAGATACACTCTCATTTCAACACCAGAACAATGTTTCATTTCCCAGAATTGGCCATCAACCAGTTTCCTTAACCATCTGCATTCACAGTGTACTCTCCAAGAAAAAATAAGAGTTATCCCCTTACTGTAGTTAGATCTTCAATCTGGGTGTGCAGCCGATGCAGAGTCTCCCCACGCTCGGCCTCACTATCAGCATATGGATAGAGGTGGCAGTGAAAGCTGGAAAGGAACATGACAGAGTAAGAATGTGTACATGTGCGCGCGTGCGCGCACACACACACACACACACACACACACACACACACAAATGTAAGGCAGGGGATGGCAAAAGCTCACAAGGGGCACTTTGTTTAAAAAGATTTGGTAACTTGATCACTCGTATGAAGGTAAGCAGAACTCTTCCAACAGTTATGGAGGACATTCAGCTTCGGATTATCTCCCTCATCTTAAATATTGAAAAAGTCAGGACTATACAGGCTACTTTGTATGGATTTCAGCTCTCGTAATTCCTCAGCCTCCTGAGCAAGTATGACAGGATGTATTCCAGGTCAAACCAAGGCAAAGGTAAGGAAGGCGGTGTGGGGTGTATGACAGGTGAGAGGATGGCACCAAAGAAGGAGAAGCATCATCCACAGAAAACAAGCAATAAGCAGACTAAGACAGCAGAGGAGGGCAATGTCCATTGACAGATGCCAAAGGACAGCTGAAGTAACCACAGCACTTACCAGTTGGCAATCTTGCGAATTTTCTGCCCAATCTGTTCACCCCAGTAGGAAATGAGGAAGATGACCCAGGTGATGCTCTCTCCCTACACAGGAGAGAGGACAGGTTCCCTAGAAGCCTCTGCACCAGGTTGTGGGGGGTTGGGGAAGAAGCGCTTTGCTAGGCTTCTTTCTGGGGCAAACCACAGAAGACCCTGGTGGCTGATCTTGGCTTGCTTCATCCACAGCCAGGTCCCCCTCTGATATTTGTCCTCCCTTTAGTTCTGTGGTTCCTCAGAGTCCTACCTTCGCCTCTCACCACCCCTTCTGTTCTTTTTATCCCATCTCACCGTGACAGGGTTTTCAACAGGCTCCGGCATCTCTATGAAGTGAGCAATGAGGTAGCCACGGCAAGCACGCCAAAGCAGCCGTTCAAAGGAATTTACTCGCCATGGATGGATCACACCTGCCACAAAGCTTGAGGGATGAAAAGGAGAAAACACAAAATTCACATTTAAGATTGCACTGGCATGGCTGGGTCCATAGTATGAAATGACAACACAGCAGACACTTAGCTGTGTCCATTTCCAGCACACAAATGCTTCACAAACAGTAGCACTTAGGACAGAGGTAAGCAAAGTGAGATCAATGGGCTGCACAGAGGCCACCCAGGGACCCCATCCGCCCTTGCCCCCAAAATCAGACTAACCGTGGCCACATGTAGCCCCACCCAAGCTTCTGGGGTATGTGATTGGCTATTTGAAGGTTATTCCACTTTTTGTTTCAAAAAAGACTAGCGGGGACTAAAACAGGGCTGTGGAGAGGGCTGAAATCACCTCTGAATGTCCAAATGTATCACCAAAAGAGGTCATGCCTCTTTGTATTGCCTGGGAGATTCTGGGAGCCACTATGTAAACAAAAAAATCTTCCAAAGCTCTGTTTTTTGACCACAGCAAACGTGTGGTTTGTTCTACAAGTCCAGCAACCCACATAGATGTTAGTCGCCCTATGTGAATGATCATTCCCTCACAACTCACTTTATTCTTAGGTCAATCCGCTGTGCCATGGATGGGTCAAGGAGAGGATCTCTGTCAGAAAAAGCGTGTTGGAATGACGATCCCAATGGTACCTGATGGCAGGGGAAGAGTCTGTCAGAGAACTGGAAACTACCCCAAAATTCATGAATTGTAAATCCAATGGCCACCCATCTCCTTTCCATACTGTAATGTGTTCAGGCTTTGACAGCTTGCAATAATGAAAATTCAAGATACAGCCCACATTTCCTAGATTCAGACTACTCATATTTTCAATCCAATATAGCAGCCATGCACAATGTAGCAAATCAAGAAAAAAGTAAAACAGAGGAGAGGGAACAGCATTCGGTTCTCCGCACCCGAGAGCTCTTTTTCATACAAGACTTAAGCCTTTTCTACCTCCTGACATACGCAAATAGAGTAAAAGCATCTCTGCAACAGCTATGTTTCAATATTGCATAGTAAAACAAACAAACAAACATCACATTCTGCTCACATCTTGAAGGGTTTCATTTAGAAAAATGAAAGCCAGAAACTATGATTTAGGTCACCTTAACAATGCTCCTCATCCTTCCTGGTCATTCTCCACATGTCATCTTTCACCACACCATTCAGAACAAGGTCTGCCTCATGGTACATCTGGCAGCTCTGAAGCAAAAGCATGTACTCCATCCTCAAAACATTTATTTGGAAAAATAGAGTCCCATTTCACCCAACCTGACACAGCTGGAGCCCCTTCTGCTCCAAGCACTACCACAACCACTTGCCACTCAGAGAGGAGGAAATGGAACAAAGAGGAAGGGGTGGTGGGCATAAAGTAGGATTACTTACCAATTGACCAGTGAAGCGCTGTCCTTCCTGCAACACTTGAACATGCTCCCGCATCTCCTGCAGCCGGCTGACGAGGGCTTCACGATTGTGGCTCACCTCTCGCAGCTCCTGCACCAGCGTCTCTGACTGCTCCTGAATATTCAGGGCATCACGGGATGATGGAGCCGGCAGATTCACCTCAGGTGGCGTTAGTGACAGTCCTGCCTTCCGCACTTCCTGCACCAAAAATGCTGGAGAAGGAGAAGGAGGGTCATGGTGAGCCTCAGCAAACAGGACTGCCACTTCCTCGTAAGGTAACAGAAGACCAGACTCAAACAACTTGTCATACAGATCACCAGATGTGGCCTCACAGCCCAGCAAAAAAGGGAAAGGGAGCTCGGAGCCCTTCAGAACTTGCTGAAATACCGCTCCATAATCCTTGACCGCTAGCCACGCTGGCTCAGTCTTATGAAAGTCAGAGCCCAAGAGCATCGGAAGGGACACCGGTCCCACCCTGTTCCCATCCCTCTCAGCCGCTTGGAAACTGTATAAACAGCAGAGACTAATAAACCCTGCACAGCTAGGGGAATGCATCTGACTTGGCCAGTCACAAGTTCTGCAGGCCCTACGGAGACACAGCTAAAATAATTCACTGGCTTTTTCAAAGAGGTTTGCAAAAGTTTGGAATTTCCTACAAGTGCAAGATCCTAAACATTTTGAAAACTACATCATTATGACATGCTGAAAGCTTCCCTTTACAAAAACTGAGAAAGTTTTGAACCCTCTCAAGCTGAATAGAGGTCAGAAAAATATATTTCTTCTTTCTGCTGCATACAATTGAATTTAGATCTTGTGGGGATCCAGAATGCTAGAAAAAGTATAGAAGAGTAGTATATATACTACACCCAATGATGTAGGGAGATTATTGTTTGCATTTTACGATCCAATGTTTTTCATTTCTGTAAACTCACTGCTTCCCAAATTAATTAAACACAACACATGGATATAGTATGTCAAAAATAAGAACTTCAAAGGAAATCATTAATTTTTTTCAGGTTGTTAAAGAATAGAAAGGGAGGTGGAGTCACAGTATATATCAAGATTACGCATTCTTGCACAGAAATACAGGAGGATGAGATTGGTTGTCCCATTGTGAGCATCAGGATTAATATAACTGGGGCAAAATACAAAAGGAATGTGGTAGTTGGGATCTAATACCAACCAGACAATCAAGGACAAGATTGCAAGAACTTCAAAGAGACACACTATAGTAGTAATGGGAGATTTCAGTTATCCTGGTATTATTCCATTGCAAGGTGTCATAACAGGAAAAGGAGTCCAAGTTGGGTGGAAGTTTCTTAAAAACAAAAATTTAAAGGCAGAACTACAAACAACTGCAACAAGAAAAAAGGTGGAAGAGATCAATGTGGCTTGACAAAAAGATCAGAAAGGTCTGAAAATAAACAAGACACATACAGGAAGTGGAGGAAAGGTCAGACCACAAAGGAAGAATACAGACAAGTAAGAAAGAATTGCAGGGCTCCTTGTCAAACTGGGAGGAGATAACAAAGGGGGTACCACAAGGCTCAGTTCTCCTCAACCTTTTTATTAATGACTTGGATGAGGGGGTGCAGGGAATGCTTATCAAAGCTGTAGATGACACAAAATTGAGTGAAACAGCTAAAACCCCAGAAGGCAGAAACAAAGTCCAAAAAGATCTTGATAGGCTCAAGCACTGGGTCGGACACCACAAAATGAAATTTAACTGAGATAAATGCAAAGTTCTACACCTGGGGTGGGGAGCGGTACCCAAATGCACAGTTACAAGATGTGGGGGTTATTGGCTCATTAATACTGTGTTTCCCTGAAAATAAGACAGGGTCTTATATTATTTTTTGCTCCAAAAAACGCATTACGGCTTATTTTCAGGGGATGTTTTATTTTAGGGTCATGTCATCTTCATCAGGTTGCTGCACAATGGTGGAGGGCAGGGTTTCACTTAACTGGGGGTTATTTTTGGGGTAGAGCTTATATTACGAGCATCCTGAAAAATCATACTAGGGCTTATTTTCAGGTTAGGTCTTATTTTCTGGGAAACAGAGTAGTACATACAAGAGATCTTGGAACTGTGAATATGAGCCAACATATGATGTAGCTGGAAAAAAAGGGAAATACTATTTTAGGTTGCCTTAACAGAAATATAGTCTCCAAATCCCGGGAGGTACTAGTCTATTCAGCACTAGTTAGGTCTCATCTCATATACTTTGTCCAGTTCTGGATACTGCGTTTCAATAAGGATCCTAACAAACTGCAACAAGTTCAGAGGACGACGACAAGGATGATCAAGGGACTGGAAACCAAGCCATATGAGGAATGACTGAAAGAACTGGGCATGTTTAGCCTTGACATAAGAAGACTGAGGAGACAGATTATAGTACTTTTCAAATACTAGAAAGGCAGTCATACAGAGAAGGGGCAGGATCTGTTCTCAATCATCCCAATGTGCAGGACACGTAATAAGGGGCTCAAATTACAAGAAGCAAATTTTGGTTGAATCAGGAAAAACATCCTAACTGGTAAAGGAGTACAACAATGGTAACAATTATCTTGGGAGGTGGTAAGCGCTCCAATGCTGGAAGCATTCAAGAGAAAATTAGATATACTTTTGATTTGGATTCCTGCATTGAACGGGGGCTGGACTCAATGGCATTATACATGACTTCCAACTCAATTATATGATTTTATGGTAGCACCTTCAAGACTACAGGGCACACAATTGTGTGGACCAGCAGCAAAATTTTGCCAGATGCATCAGATTAAGTAGATGCAATAAGAAATATGTTATGTTTGTCTTTAAAGTGCTACAAGACTCTTGTTTTTTCCTACTAAAAATATGTTCTGAACTATTTATTTGTATTTATTTATTTATTTAGATTTATACCCGGCCTATCTAGACCAAAGGTCTACTCTAAACTATCTAAATACATTTTAGCCACATTGCAGCTAGTGTGGCAAAGTGGCTCAGAAACTAGGGATATGAATCAGGACACTCCCAGTTCCATCTCAGTTCTGCTAGGAATTCAGTATATGATTTAAGAAAAGCCATGTTCTCTCACCTCAGCCCCTCTATCTGCAGAATGTGAGATGAAATACATAGTGATTTGCTTTATAAGTTATAAAGTAGTCTTATAAACAAAGCATTAAAAATAGACAATGGTTTTAGCAAGCCTAATAGTAAATGAAGAAGAGACCAGAAATTGCAACAGTGGTAGAGGCTATAAAACAGAAATTACAACAACCAGCAACTCATATGGTTAACTGCCCGATTCCTCTACATGTTCTTGGAGACAAACAAGCAGACTGTGTGAGGATGTGCTACTGTCAATAGCCAGGAATCAGAAATTGCATTAAGGCTCCAAATCATGTGCTTGTACACAAAAAAATTCAGCCTCATGATTTATTAATCCAATTTATTTGTGTTGCTAGAACTTTGGATTGCAAAGTTCTGGCAGCCTTTCCCAGTCCCCTGCTAGTCACAAATGGACCAGGCAGCTAACATACTGCCTTCAGAAGTTTTATAGATCCTTTGTTGCTGTTTAGACGTGTCCAACTCTTCGTGACCCCATGGACCAGAGCACGCCAGGCCCTGCTGTCTTCTTATACATCCTATGGGAACCCAATTATTCAAGACATCACCAATGATCAGACAACCCACCCCTGGTTCCCCCACATATGTGTGCCACTCACTGAAGGTTTTCTCCATATCTTCACACCGCCGCACTTCCCCAACAAAACGTCGCTGGAAGGCACTGACATGCGGGTTCAACTGAAAGTACAAGAAATATATCACTAGTTAAGAACTACACAAGGCTGTCTCACCATTACCCTGACTATTAGTTGTCTATTCCCTTCTGCACAACCTCAAGCCCTGTTTCCTCAGGAATAAGACACCAACTCTTCTGTCTCAAGTGTAGACATCCCTGCTCATTTTGCTGTGGCTCCAACAAAAATGAAACACCATTCTTGAAAATGCCAAGGGAGAGGAGAACGAGCCAACTGTATACAACTAGAAATATTCCTTGAATCTAAGTATACTGCAAGCTATTCTTATATAAAGCACAGATATTTTATTATCATTGTAGAAAAGATAAAATATTAGCCATCATTTTTTTCTCCACATGTAGACTAACACATTTTAAGCTGTTAAATTTTCAGGGATGCAGTGGGAAAATATACTTAAAACACACGAGGAAGACACCAGACAGCAACACAGACTTATACTTCCCAATCTGCTAATTGCCACCCTAAATAAAACCACATATTTTGTTTATCTGTGGGTAAGCTCTTGCTGTACAGATATCGCAAAGGCTAAACACGCTTGCGTTGGTTTCCCCACTGAAGGGTTCGGCAAGCATTTCTGAACGTACATCGCGGAACTCCACAAGGCCTCGTTCTCCCAGTTCACTGATGCAAGCATACGCTGAAGCCGACTGCAAGAAGAGCTGGGCCAGGCAGACCTCTTCACTGCGGAACATGGAGCCCATGTTGCTAGGGGGAGACCAAAAGAGAGAATCAGCTGACTGGGTAGTGGAGTCCCAAAGAAGTAGCAGCCTGCAGTAACTCCCGGACAGGCCAGCTTTCATTTGCACTGTCCGATCTGTCTCTTACTTGGAAAGTTTCATTTTTTTACAATAGCCCTATTAAGGTGAACTGATGTTAGGAGGGTGGGGAAAAAAACCCAGAATGAACAGGAAAATAAGGTGGCAAGCAAAGACTGACAGGGGACAGGCTGCTCATTTGAAATTATAGGCCGTGGGCAAGGCTCTCAGAAAAGGGGGCCTCTGGGCGAAGTGTTGCCAAAAGGTAGAGAACCACCACTAAGAAGGTCCCCAGGGCAAGAAAACTGGAGGATCCCAACAAAGGACATGAAGGTTACGTAATTTGACCTTCAGTGGCTGCAATGGTCTACCAAATCTAGTACTGAAAAAAAGGGCTTTACTTACTTTTAAAGAGTTCCACAATGCACACAGAAGAAGAAAATGTGGCTTATGCTGCAGACGTAGGCCAGGAGGCAGTCTTCAAACAGCTTCTTTGCACCTCAAATGGCTTGCTACAACTGACATCCAGGCTCCAGCTGCTGACTCATGTGGGGCTTTTTCTTTTTTCCTTCCCTTTGGGATTGCAACACAGTTTCCAGTCAAGCCACAGCCGTTTCACAACGTGCGCCTGAGTCACAGCTCCATGTTGCTCTCCATGGCATTAAAATATCTTGAGATGGCAGGTCTGGTACTCAGGCTGACAAACCAGCAGAGAAGTGTTTGCAGGCAGATGCAGCTCAATGCAGAAGGTGTTGCCCTAATGCAAAGATGGGAGCAGGGGGAGGACATGGCCCAACAATCAGCCAAGAATGTACATGATTTGTTTTGACTCTTCATTCCCAACAATTCCTGTCCACAAGGTCAGAGATGCCACAACTTCAAGTCAAAATACAAGGATAAAATAAATAATTTACTGCCATTTTATGACATGCAAAATTGGCTGCCTGAGATGACCCACTTCATCCTATCTAAAGGTAAGACCGACCCTGCTGATGATAGCTGGAGATGGCTCCTCTCATGTTCCTCTACTAGAGTGGGGGAATCACTGGGTAAATCTACAAGAGCCACAGAAACCACACTCAAAGATGGATCTAGAACAGGCAATCATTGCTGCAAGATTATTCTCACACAGTATTACTAACACTGCAGACTATCAAAATTTCCGAGGCCATTTTCTTTGGTAGAAATCACACGCAAGAAAGAGGGTAGCCTACTAGCATTACCTTTGGTCTGAGCAGAAATGTAGCTGGGGAGGACAAAATTTGGGACGGGGGGGCGCAGCAGAGTATGCACAGTACGGAATCTGGAATGGCCATTTCCAGCACTTTCCCTTAAAAGAATCAAGAAGTCCCAAGCTAGGACTATTTAAAGTTTAGGTAAAGGTAAAGGTTCCCCTTGACATTTAGTCCAGTCATGTCCAACTCTAGAGCGTAGTGCTCATCCCCGTTTCCAAGCCACAGAACCAGCGTTTATCTGAAGACAGTTTCTGCAGTCACATGGCCAGCGCAACTAGACATGGAACGCTGTTACCTTCCCACCAATGTGGTACCTATTTATCTACTTGCATTTTTACATGCTTTCGAACTGCTGGGTTGGCAGGAGCTGGGACAAGCGACGGAGGCTCACTCCGCCACGTGGATTCGATCTTACGACTGCTGGTCTTCTGACCTTGCAGCACAGAGGCTTCTGCGGTTTAACCCGCAGCGCCGCCACATCCCTTTAAAGTTTAGGGGACTCTTAAAGCCCCTTACATAAAAATCACTATTCCTGGAGGCCTCCCAGAGGACGAATTAATCCATTAAAAAAACCTGCTGCTTTCACGTCTCTGAAGAACTGAATTTGTAATCCATGAACATTCACCCTGAAATGTTTGTCATAACAGCGAAATATTTTTGTCTTTGTTGCTCAAGCAGACTTATGTCTCTCTGCAAACTGCTGCTTTGAGTATCATCCAGACTCTAGAATGACTCCTAACTGGATACTGTTGAAACAAATACTGTATATCTTGTATTAAGGGTTCCTATATCTCATTTATAAAAGCCAGTTTTGTTTTGTGTTGTGGTTCCCAACCTTGGGAAACTAAGGTATTCTTGGACTTCCCAGAAGCCTTCACCAACAGCTGTGTTTGCCAGGGTTTCTGGGAGTTGTAGTCCAAGAATACCTGGGTTAATCAAGGTTGGGAACCAGTGGCATAGCGGATAGAGCACTGGACCAAGACTCAGGAGACTTGGGTTCAGATCTCTGCTTGTCTAGGGAAACTAACTGGGTGGGTGGCAACGTTAACCACTCTGAACATTTCATGTACCTCAGGAACCATTATTCGTGTTACCATTTATTTGAAATCACTTGACAACACATAAAAACAAAAATAAAAAAAGTTTCATTTATAACCGTTTGTGTGCTATTAGGGGCCCCAATGAACTTTGAAGGGCCTTAGGTGCAACCTCTCCTATCACCCTTTTGCACTAGCAAAAGAGTATCCAAAGACATGAACACTGCCCTGTCCTGAAGACCTCAAAATGAAAGAAACTGGTCACATGTAATCTGTTAATGTGATCTATTAATCTACTGCAGGAGCTGGTAACTTGGGTGGGCCTGAGCAGCTTCACTAGACCTTGAAATGTTAAACAGGATGTGCCTAGGCCTCCACTGCCCATTTTTGTTTTTGAGGTTGAAGGAGTATTCACAACTTGTTTAATGTGGAAAAAAGACCATTAAACAGGTTTGAGGTACGCTAGCCTCAAGCCCTTCTTAGTAGTAGCAGATAATTTTAATCTTTTTCATGTTTTAGTCTTTTAATTTAATTTTAAATCATGTATTGTTTGATTTGTCTTTTAATATTTAAACTGTTGTGTTTTTAATTGTGTAAATTTTAATGTTGTGAGCCCCTTTGGGTCCCTTGTTGGGAGAAAGGCAGCATACTACTACTACTACTACTACTACTACTACTACTACTACTACTACTACTACTACTACTACTACTACTACTACTACTACTACTACTACTACTACTACTACTACTACTACTACTACTACTACTACTACTACTACTACTACTACTACTACTACTACTACTACTACTACTACTACTACTACTACTACTACTAATAATAATAATAATAATAATATGGCAAGACTTTACCCAGAGGCCCCCTTTCCTGGAAGCCCACAGAAGCTGTATGCTTTTGTTGCAAATATATATACTGTATCATTTTTAAAAAAATCCTGCTGCAACATTAGAAGCTTTGTGGGGCTTAGAAGATCCAACGAAGGATCCTTGGGACCTACACATTACCAATCACCTGCACATTCTCTGCCCTACTTTACTGATAGAGAATCTCAATGTTCTCCTCTATGGATCTGTCCTGGTACCAAGTCCTCAGTCATGTCTAAGTTGTGATATTTCTTTCTCTTTGTGAACACAAAGATCTCATATGACATTTTAAAAATGGAAATACTCTTGGACTCTGACTCCCATGAGGCTGAGCCAGCATGGCTAGTGGTCAAGGATTATGGAGCTCTAGTTCAGCAACAATTTTGTTGTTGTTTAGTCGTTAAGTCTTTAGACTAAAAAAAGCCACTGTCTAAACATCTGGTCTCAGACTTCTGACCACTTGTCTATCGACATACACTTTTCCTTACTATCACATGTGGAGAAAACACGTTGGTCAAACATAGTAGAAATCTCAAAGATAGGGAGAAAAAGAAAAATGTGTGTTAAGGCATGCAGGAACTTGAATGTGCATAAAGCACCGAGATCAATGCTGGCAATACTTAGTTTAAAAGCCTGATAGGGGCGTTGGGGGCAGAATTACAGCCAGGCAACCCTGTATATTTGAGTAAAGGATTTTGAACTGGTAAGTCTGGCTGTAGTACTTTTCCAGCTACAGGAGTTACAGCTCTTTCTGAAGACTTGGGGCCATGCAATATGTACAGTATAGCAGAAAGAACAAATATGCCATCTCACCTCTTGGGAGGTTTAGAAAAATGAAAACCAGGCACAGGTCTCAGCTGGTTAAAGACAAATGGAACACTGTCTAAAAAGGAAACAGATCCAGAAGCACTCTGATTTAGCGGAAACCTCCTTCCCAAGGCTGCACCTAGGGAAATAACTGTGCAAGCTTGCACAGCTCACCAGTTGTGAATAGCCCGCCAGCACCCACAGCTTCTCTTTCTTAGCCTCAAAGATGTTTTTCACTTTTTGATTTTTTAAAAAAGTAAATGAAGAAATGTAAGAGTGAGTGAACAAACGCTAGCACACCTGCATCACAAAACCATAAATGGGAAAAGTTATTTTTTCGAAACTAACTCCTTGATTCAACCAGCCAGCACGGCGAGGGTAACCTGGGAACTGTACTTAAAAACGTTCCCATTTTTGCACAAGACTATATGAGTCAATCAAAGTTCTGACTGACTATTCTTCTAACTGAAATGTTAGGAGGAAGCCAGTCTGAGGCAGTGGTTGAGTGGTCTACTGTGTGTCACATTTGACTATAAATAGAAAACTGACATGGTCAAAAGGGAACAATAACTCCCCACCTGCCTCTCACTCACGACCGTCCAGATTCTGGAGGCACAGACTTTTTCCCCTAGTTGTAACAACGAAGAGAAAGCCATACATTTTCTAAATGAACAATTTGGTCGGGCAGCCTCTTGGTGCAACAGCGCATAGCCCGCGCATGGGGGATGCCGGGGAATGGCAATACATCAGAAATGAAAGTAAAACCACAGATCTCCAGGCATCACCATGATTGTTTTGTGGTCTCAGCAAAAGGACTCTACAACACATAATGACATCCTTTTATTAGACGCGTAAGTGTAGGAAGCTCTCCCCCGTTGCCGCATCTCAAATCGTATCAAGCCTAGCTTTCTAACCTCACCGGGCTGCGCTTATAGACGAAGCTGATCTTGCAGCGAACCACTGTAGATTATTCTTTCTAGCTTCAAAATCCATTGGGAAGAGATGAATGCAGCGCCTACGTAAACTCCTCGAAGTAATCCCTTTATTTACAAGAAGGGGGAAGATCACCCTCCCGTCGGCGCCACCCTTCCCTCCCCGTCCACAAATTAACCCCTGAGCGCGGGCGCGCGTGCACGGCCATTCTGGATGCAAAATGGCATTCCAGGAAGCAGGAGGCACCCCCGGGGCTTGTACAGGCACGTGGGCGGGTGGCTGGGGAAAGGCCGGGTCTCAAGCGAGCGACAGTCGTGCTCCAGGAAACAGCCATTTGCAGAGAGAAAATGGGGTCAATACCAGATATCCCCCGGAACTGGTGCAGAGAAACGCAGAACAGGCCCCAAAGAGCGTCTTCTAGCTGCATCCACCAACAACACCTCCCTCTGGATCCGCAGCCCTGTTCCCCCATCTCACACAACCCCGGCCAGTACCAGCACCAACCAATCCAGACGTACCTCCGACTAGTTTTCCACAATCACTGTTTGTAAACAGGCTGCACTACCGTTGACTACAGATATGAGACAGGGGTGCGTGGAACGGATCCATATACAGAACCCCCTATGCCGAATTTCCCTTCCGCAATATCAGAGGAACCTCTCTGATGTTAACCCCAGGGGAAAGAGATGCAAATAACGACAGCGGATGAGAAGATCCGATTCCCTTTCGAACCCGCGCCGCAGCATGACCGGGAGTGGAGGCTTGGCTCGAAGAAGCCGAAAGAGAGAGAGAAAAAACCGAACCCGCAAAGCAGAGGAGCAAGAAAAGAGCACCGCCGATCTTGGGAGGAGGTGGGTCCCAAGGCGGCGGCGGCGGCATCGAGGCTCCTCGGGATCACGAGGAGAGCTACGAGAAGAACCAGGGGCGCGGGCGGGCTGAAGCTTTACCGACCTTGTCGCGATGCCGCCGGCGCAGCAGGCTGAGCGCCTCGGAGCGGGCTCCAAGTACACACAATAGTTGCTTCCTCTTTGCCAGGAAGGGCCGGGCCGAAAGGAGGGCTGCTCTCCCCCCGCCCTGAGAGGACGCCCTGCCTCGCACCGCCGTTCGCTCGGAGGCGCTTCTTGCCGCCCCATTGATGGCCGGGGAAGGGGAGCGCGTGGCTCAGGGCCCGGTTCTTTCTCGCCCCCCCCCTCCTCCACCGAAGGATAGGGGGGGAAACATTTGTGCCCTTTCCACAACATGGGGGCTCCTCTATCCTCCTCCGCCGAAGCCTACGTGGGTTTAGTTGGGAGTGAGCGCCCCCCCTCCATTCAGGGGGCTTCCTCCCAAGTAAAGGGGCGCGTGGGGTTCCAGCAGGATGGCGGGGCTGGAGAAGCAGAGCCTGGGAGGACAAAACGTGGGGGCCCGCGAGGAGGAATGGGGGTCTGGATGGGCCACGCTGGCTAGGGATTGTGGGAGTTGTAGTGGAAAAAAAGGAACGTTTCCAGCCGGTGGAACGGAGGGCGCGCGTTTTGTTGTCTGGTGTTTCGGCGGTCTTTCCCTGTAAATGTGTGGCAAGCAGATAGGGACGGGAACCCGTGCTCCCAGTTGGGAGGGCAGAAGGGCCTGTGTAGGGCCAGGCGGCGGCCTCGCTTGAGGCCTACGCCGTTTGCAACCATGTTTTCCTGCGGTCACATCTGCGCAAAAGGCTTAAAAGACTGGAAGCAAAAAAGCTCCGCGAAGCCTGCGAAGGGAAAGTTGCTGTGCGTGACGCCGACGAGTACGCCAAATAACATGCTTCCTCAAACCGGATCTTATAAGAGCCGCCCTCTTGTCCGAAAAGTTAGCTACCATTGCCAACGACTCTTTACTGTTCGAGGCCCAGCCTGTTCCTGCACGTTTAAGACCAATTGATCAGAATTTTCAGACCGCATCTGAAGTAACTTACCTGTTTCTCCCTGGGGGGTTTTCTCTCCTTTTCCCCACTACTATTGCTCCACTACACTGTAGTTTATTTTTCCAAAATAAGCACCCAAAATAAGATGGGGCATTGCCCTCCAGCTGCATTTCCTACACAAGTTTACCTTTTGAAGCTACTATCAGAACCCTGCAATTATGTGAGAAGAAGAGTGATTAGGAACATAGTGGGTTTTTTTAATTTATTTATTTTTTGACAACTAAGAATAAGGTAAGGAATATAGAAGGTAAAAAAGGGGATATGGGGGGAAGGGGGGGAAGAACACAAAATGTACATTCATCCAATCTATTCATGTTGCAATATCAAGTCAATTTTCTACCTTCCTACAATTTGATTGCCCTCCAGCTTTCAACTTACAGTTACATCTTAGTAGGAACATAGTTGTTAAGGCACAGGATGCACCCTGAATTCTCAGGGGAACTCAAACAGCACAAATCATCTCCATTCACTTTCAGCTCATTGGAATCTAGCATGACCCAATGGCAAATGTGCGCGCGCGCACTCTCTCTCTCTCTCTCAGTAGTTGTTAAGGCACAGGATGCACCCTGAATTCTCAGAGGAACTCAAAACAGCATAAATCATCTCCATTCACTTTCAGCTCAATGGTAGATGTGCACGCACGCACACACATTACTGTATTTTGAAGATCTGAAGCTAAATGCATGCAGCAAAACTGGGATACAGCTAGCCTGGTATATTTATATACAAAAACAGGCCTGGAAAAGAGCCCTGCTTTACAAGAAAGGGGTAGTCCCAACTGCTGAAGCATATTAGCCCCTTTACATGGTGTTCAGGTGAGCAGAGGTGTAGCTCAAATAAAGGGAGTCAATCCTCCTGTCCTTTTCTTCTTTCTTAACTTTACGTACTTTCCAAGTACTGTAAATAAGTCACAATTACAAGAGCAGAAACCCAACAGGACTGCTCAAGGCCGTTCAATACTACAGGACCATCAAATTATATAGATGTGGAACAGCATTCAAGTTTTGAACAACTCATTAATCAAGTTGGTGGGAAATTAGGGGAAAGCACAAAAAATTCATGTACAGTATGTCTCTCCAGGGACATTCACAAGTCTTTGGGGCCAGGAACCGTGCCCGAGTCCCTATTTTAAAAGCAGTTCTCTGCCTGAGAAAAAAAGGGAGGGGTGGGTGAGTTGCATGTAGAGTCCAAGTCACTGGAAAAGAAAATGAGTCAAGTCACTGGTGTAAGTTTAGTCCAACTTCCCAGCGAGTCCCCATCCTTGTGCTTCTCCATAGTTGTAAGATGTAGAATGCAGTCTTAATGAAGAGGTGCCAAAGCTTTATAGCTGTACATTGACAGCTTGTGAGATACAGTACAGCTAATGGTTTCTCCCCAACCCTTGCTGAACAAGAGCTGAGGGCAACTGCTCATTTGTCTCCTACAAAGATCAAAGGCTTTTCACTTGCTTTAGAGTAGAAACATCACATGTCCCATCTAAATTTGATTTCCCAGCTCAGCTGATAAAGACTGAAATTAGTCATTAGAAAGACAAGGCATTTTCAATAGTCATGGAAAATTAACTGATGATTTATCTGCATAGTATGGATGGCACTTTGTGTGTAGATATTTTGGTAGACAATGCTGGAGAAAGGCTAGTAGTCATTGTACAGTATATGGTGGAAGTAATGACATGCAGAAATGCAGTCATGAGGTCCTGAAAGCAAAACTATCTGCTAAGTAGGAAGTTGAAATTCAGAACTTCCAAGTCACATTCTCAGACACAGCTAGACACTGAAATGTTGGTGTGGAGAATCAACTTACAGATGAGATGGTGGCAATTGGTGTTTGAATTTGCATAAATAGCAGGAACTGCTTAAACCAAAGGAATACCAACTGTTCATACTTAATATGAAAATAACTGTAGAACAGGGCAAATTTTAAGCTGACTTGAAAAATTAGCTGGGGATTGGAAGAATCTTTTTTGAAAATCTTTTTAGGGAATAGGAGTGAACGTAGTTCTTATTATGTAGAGATGGAACAGAATGTTGCATCCTATAGGAGAACAAGCCAAAATACTGCAGGTATATACTGTACCCTGGAAACATCTGGACTACAGCAATTCGTTTGTGTTATACACTAATGCTAGAAAGCCTCCAAGTCAAGATGGGACAAGCTGGAATGTTTAATGTCCAAGGAAAACCTGTAATAGGTACAGTGGGGTCTTGACTTAAGAACGGCCCGAATTAAGAACATTTTGACTTAAGAACCACTCTCATAGGAAAATATTGACTTGACTTCCATACTTAGATTTGAGTTAAGAACTGAAAAAAAACCACGTGGGAGGCAGAGAAAATGCAAAATTGGAACTTTCAGTTAACTGTTGGCCAGTGAAAAGGGTGTCTGTCTGCTTCCTCGCTCCTCCCAGCGTTTAGAGAGTGGATTGGGAGACAGTCTTCGGACTGCCTGGTACTGTACTGCCTGGACTGTATTTTCCCTGCCTTCCCTGAACCTTTCTTGACCTAAGAAAAAAAGAAGTGGTCGAAGGCAGAATAGCAGCTTCCCATTAGTTTCTATGGACAGAAAAGAGCAGATACGAATCAAATGGTTTTCAATGCATTCCTATGGGAAATGCAGATTTGACCTGAGAACTTTTTGACTTGAGAACCGCCTTCCCATACGGATTAAGTTCTCAAGTCAAGACCCCACTGTATACCCAAACTCTAGTTGAGTGAAGAAAAGTAGTGGGGCAAGATTCTCTCTGGATACAAAACTGGATATCAAGGGGCAAAATGTGATATGGGTTACATCACGATGTAGTCAAGAGAGGGTACTGTCCAAAAATTTAGAAGTCC